GCAGAGAACAGTGCAAATTTGCAGAAGTACAGTTGCTTCTAAGCAAATGAGCAAATTGCATCAGGAGAGTACTGAAACTGGAAGATGAGGAGCCCTTTGAACCACCTCCTACAGCACCAGGACCCATAGAGCCGGAGCCAGGGTCCCGGTGGGTGCCTTCCCCTGGACCAGAGGAACTGAGTGCCTCCCACAATTACTCCTCAGTCCACCTAGGCAGGGAACGCCCCAGCCAGGAGGCCCTGGAATGCAGGACAAGTGCCCTTTCTTGACAAGTGCCCAGAGGGTTGGCTCCCCAGGCCACAGCCTAGGAGAGGTAAATTGAAGGCAGGGACTCAGAAGGGATTGGTTTGCTTCTGACCTTTGGAGCTCTCCGTGGTGCTGCAACCACAAACTCCTTCCTCTGCAAGCTCTTGCTCTGTGCGCTCCTAGGGAACATCAGAAAAGGGCAGCAGCATGGATGAAGTTATGGAAGATATTATTCTTTTATTATTTGTTACCATTATTCTATCATATAGATCTATATTTAACTGATGCTGTAAGCCGCCGTGCAGCAAAGACTGGACAGCTTTAAAATACGATGAGACAGATTCATGGAGGAGAAGGATTGTTGGCTAACAGTGATATCTTCACCACCGGAGGCAGTGGGCCCACATCCACATCCTACATGCAAAGCACATGGTTTCCCACAAAGAATCATGAGAAATGTAGCTTGTTAAGGGTGCTGGGAATTGAAGCTCTGTGAGGGGTAAACTGCAGTTCCCAGGGTTGTAAGCCATGTGCTTCAAACAGATGGCGTGGGAGTGACCTCACCAGTTGCTCAGGGAACGTGGAAAGTGCTGTTGCCCTCAGGTGCTGCTTGTGGTCTTCTCAGAGGCATCTGTTTGGTCCCTGTGGGAACAGGATGCTGGACCAGATGGGCCTCTGGTTTGATCCAGTGGGAGTCGTTCTTATGTCTTTAAAGCCAGGGTATTAATATTTTGAGTAAATTATATAAATAAATAATCATCTGCTGCTGCCTGTTGGGATGGGGAGGGATGGCAGTGAGCCCCAGAGGGAGTGCCGGACTGGCCATGATTCCGCTAGCAAAAGCCCAATGCCCCAACCTTGCAACCGCCTCAACCTCCACAGCAAAACCACCCACGTTGGGAGGGAGGCTTCACCCTGCACCCCCACTGCTATGGCCAGATGCTGCCTCTTGACAGTATTCACTGAGGTGAGATTCTGCCATTCCCATCTAGGGGTTTATAGAATTTGGGGGCTGGTTGCTGAACTGATAAAGCTTTCTCTCTGGAATGCTTCATGACTTCACCCAGGAATGAGAGTGAGAAGTCCCAGATTCCACGCAGACCATAAATCAGGGAGAAGCACAGTCACTGGTTGTGCAAAGCTATGAGGAAGGAAATGTAGAGAATTAACCCCAGAGGCATCTGCCAGTGATCTTCTCTGGGGAGGGATGTCTGAGTGAAAGCTATTTCATGCACACCTGAGGGCTGAAACTGATGCAAGTCTGGAGGTCTGTGATCAGAGCTCCCTTCCTGGCCTCCAGTTAAAGCAGCGTGTGGGTTGCAGGGGCTCAGTATCAGAGCACTGGGGAAGGGAGCATTTCACCCCAGAACTTGATGAAGGGTGGAATAGAAGGGTGGTGTCCACCTACGTTAAGAGTAGACTCAATGATATCGGTTGACTTGCTCACGAGGCCACCCTAGATCCATGAAATAAAACAAACAAAACAACCCATGCCCTCACACTGGTTCCCTAATCAAAATTGCCCCTCTGAAGCTGATATTATACGCACAGCAGATTTTAAAAAGTATGGCACCATACAGGTATTTGCCAGGCTAGCCGCAGATTCTGGGAGGGAGGTTTCAATGATCAGGGAAATAACGTGGTTGGTGGGGTTATTTATTTACTCACGTCATTTATATAGCCACCCCATAATTAAAACACAAGCATATAGCTCCCTTCCACCAACTGTCTTGACCCAAATAAATGGGTGTGTGTGTCTGGGGGGAAATTAGGGGAACTGTGCCTTGTTTTTGTCTCTAAGACAAAATGTAAGTCTATTGTAAATGTATTGACCTCAAAATGTAAAGCATAAATGTGATGGACCAATGCTTGAAAATGTTTGTGCCATACAGGTTCACTCATCCAGCAAACAAGACTGGTGGGCTGCCACTGAATGAGAGGGAGAAACTTTGTGATGGCTGATGTGTAATGTAGGAAGGAGTTTAACACCAAGACAGATGTGACGATTAACCAGAAAATGGTGAATAACTGGTCGTCCCTGCTGAACTCAAATGACAAATTACCAAGTGGTCATGTAGAGAAAATATTTTTGAATCTTGAAGAGGACAGCCCTGCAGTCATGCAGATATATGATATGAAATAGCCTAATGCTTGTTTTGACGTATAAAATAAGTTCAAGGGCATATACACTTTAGTTCTTTTTGAATTTATCTGATGGTGCTGTGTTTCAGGCTTCTGTGCAAACAAAGAACTAAGAGCAGACTTCAGCACTGTTGTGGAATGTGTGTGGTCAGTGATACATTGCCATGTAAGCAGAGCAATTTCACCATATAAACACACTCTGGGAGAAATCTTCAGAAGCAAGCAACTAGGGCAAACGCTCCTCACCACTTGGGACAACGCTGCCATCTTGCTGAGTGATTTACTGCACAATGCTATGCATGTCTACTCATAAATAAGTCCATTGAGTTCAATGGGATTCACTCCCAGGAAACTGTATATGCTTGCATCCCTAATATACAACACGGTAAGTTGCCATTTGGGGAATGATTATGAGTATCATTTGAATACAAGCATGGTGGGGGAGGGGGTATGCTAGAAGTTTATAAAATTACAGTCGTGCCTCGGAAGTCGAACAGAATCTGTTCCAGAAGTCCATTTGACTTCCAAAAAGTTCGGAAACCAAGGCGTGGCTTCCGATTGGTTGCAGGAAGCTCCTGCAGCCAATTGGAAGCCGCGGAAGCGTTCGGGAGCCAAAACATTCAACTTGCGAGGTGTTCGACTTCCAAGGTATGACTGTACAGTATAGAGAGAAGACCATTTTCTGCTTCTCTCATAATAATATAGCCCAATGAAGATCATAGGCAATAGATTCAGGACAGACAAAAAAAAGCACTTCCTCCTGTATCACATGGTTAATTTGGGGAGCTCATTACTGCAAGATGGATTGGTGGCAGATTTGAGAGAGAGAGAGATTTCCTGGAACTGGAATGAGCAATCTCTTATTTCCGCTTGAGAGCTGCTTTCCCTCATGGCTAACCTGCTAGAGGCCACATGACAAAAGGAAGCAGGGCCAAAGCAAAGTGGCCAGCCCCCCCCACACACACCTATTCATACACATCCACACACAAGCATATAAACATCCATTTATGCACATCTGTTCCCATTTATTCATTCACTCACAATACACACATTTTCAGACTGACTTCCCAGCTGCAATATCCAGGAAGATTCTGCCATCTTCCCATGGAGCAATTAGGCTTGGGGAGACGGAAGCCTATCCCACTGAAAACTACAATGACCCATCATGTACCACACACAGAATGCCTCTAAATGCCAGCTGCTGGGGCCAAAAAAACAACACCTGGAGAGGGGCCACGAGGCCCTGATTGTGAGCGTCCCAAGGGCACCTGGCTGGGCTGTTGTTGGAAAAGAGCTGCTGGATAAACGGCAAGGCAATTCTCGTGGCCTTTTAAGAAGAGAACAAATATAACAAAACAATACAGTTCTGGGCACTTTCCATTATTTGTGCTGTCCAGAAGCAAGAGGTCAAGCCTTATTCTTTACATTGCTTGTGGACGCACCCCAGAATACTATGCATTATTCTGAGCAACTCTTTGACCTCTCCGAAACCTGTAGGGCTATCCAAAAGAAGAACAGCTTAACATGCATTTTTAAACGCTCAAGGGATGAGAAGATCAAGAAACAAATCTGTCCGGTTGCACAAAGGAGCTGACCAGGGAGAGAGAGATTGCAAATATTTGCAGTATAAACACTCAGAAAGGAGTGGAGCTGGCCGTGATGGGTGTGGTGAGGGAAGTGGTGGAGAAGATCTGTGATGAGACTGCAAAATCCAGCAGGGGAGAGCAAAGTAGACCATCTCACAACGAAGAGAGGAATGCGGCAGCAGGATATTATCCTAGCTGCAGAAGGCAGTGCGGGTTACTACTGAGGGCAAAGAGCCTGATACCAGGCAAGGTTCCCATACAGCTGAAGTGAGGAGCCTGTGGCCCTCTAAATCAGAGTTTCCCATGTTTTGGGACTACAATTCCTTGACCACTGGTCCTGCTAGCTAAGGGTGATGGGAGCTGTAGTCCAAAAACAGCTGGAGACCCAAGGTTGGGAAACCCTGCTCTACATCCTCAAACCATTTCAGGCCCAGAAACCGCCTTTAATCCAAATATGGATTTGGGGACCCATTTCTTTTAAAACATCTGAACAAACACCTATTTTAGGACATGGAGAACTTAGGGCCTACCATATGTTGCTGGACTACAATTCTCATCATGTCTTGCCAGCGGCTAAATGGAACCATCTGCAAGGAAGAGGATAAGTGGACACTATAGGGATCTAAAAATGGTAGCACTCAGATATTGGGAAGCCAAGGTCTTAACCTTGTCGTACTTTAACCCACACTACACCTCAAAAAAGTGTCACATTGGAACTTGCCAGCAAATCATATATTCTGGTTTGGGGGCTCAACAAATCCTGGGAGTGGCAAGCTCCCAATGGAAAGTCATTGTCCCTTTTTAGGTATGTATTTACAATATTGATCTTGCTTGCCTATTCATCTTCAGAGGCCACTAGCATGGAATGCTCTGCACAGTAGTGCGACACACCTATTGCTATGACTTGTATTGCTCGACCTTTTGGCTTTACTTGGCTTAGAAATGCACACATACATTTTCCACTCCCCTTCTAATCTCTGTACTCAGGAGATATATATGTATATGTACACTCGCCAGGACCTGCATCAACAAGCAGTATTCTCAGGGAGCTGCTGGTGGAAGCCCCAGTGTGCCAGAAGAACCTGCCGCTGACATCTGCAGCCCCTGCCATTCAAAGTCCCCACACGCCTTGGAGAGAGGCTACCTCAGATGCATTGTGGGTAATTTAAAATGGCAGGCGGCTTGTAGCAAGCTGGCACAAATCACAGCACTGCCCCTACTGATTCCTCCATCACCACCAGGTAAGGACACCAACATTGGAGAGGGCCAATAATATAAGGGGAACATTGGGGGGGGCTAACTTAGAGCCAGCCCTACTGTCCATTAGGACAACCACTTCATGCATCGGGCAAAGAGGAGTCTGGCCCATGGAAGCTGGCCTGATATGTTAAACTTACAGGAACATAGGAAGCTGGTCCCCCAAGCTCAGTATTGTCTGCAAGGGCTCTCCTAGGTTTCAGGGAGGGGTCACTCTCCCAGCCCAACCCAGCAATTGAACCTGGAACCTTCTACACACAAAGCAGATTCTCTGCTCCTGAGCCTCGGCCCTTTCCAAAGATTTGTGTAATTTAAAATCCCCCTGATTTGTTTCCACTCCCTCCCGTATGAACTTCTGAGATCTTCAGGAGACTTTTCGCACTTGTCGTGTGAAGTTCAGGGCGCAAGGACGTGTGCAGAGGCCTCCTCAGTGATGGGACCCAGATTGCTTTGGCTCTACTTTCCTCCTGTAGCAGAGTTTCCAGGCAGAAGGTAAAGACCACTCCTCTGGACTGTGCTTTTTAGTGGTATTGGATGCTGCCCTTAAATTTTCCTCATTTTGTTGTTCTCTAGCGCTGGACAATTTTGTATGTTTTGATGCTGTTGTGATTATTATTCTTGCTCTGTTTTCTTGATTGGTTGGGCTTTATTTTTATACGTTACTAGGGGTTGTTGACCCTGCTTGCTCCATTTGCCAACTCTGACAACCACTCCCCACTCCTTCCCCCCCCCCAGCCACCCACTCCGACTGGAGTGCAAGTCCACACCCAGGCGCGCACAAAATTAAAGCCCCATTCACAAACCCTCGTTTCAGCTCTAGTCCCTTTCTATGGGGCACACCCTCAAGGTGAGTTCTCCCATCTAGTATGTCATAACTGATAAGCTTATCAGCTTCTGCTTCCTGTGTTGGTTCTCATGGTTGAGCACCTTATGCAATATAGAGCCGTGCTGTGCTCAGTCTCTAAAAGGAGAGGCAAAGGTCTAAAATGTGGAGGCAAGGAAGGGTTAGTTCACTATCGGCCCTCCAAATGATGTTGGACAAAAAATTCCATCGACTCCAGCCAGGGAAGACTGGGGCTGTGCCTCAGCCTAAACTACCTTGCAAGGTTGTTGTGAGGAGAAGATGAGGAGGAGGAGAAGCATGTACACTAAGGTTACCAGATTTTTTTCAATGAATCCGGGGACATTTTTCAACTTCAGTGGATTTTGTATGGGGACTGGTTTGTAAATCCGGGGACTGTCCCCGGGAAACGGGGACGTCTGGTAACCTTAATGTACACCACCTTGAACTCCTTAGAGGAAAGGTGGGATTCAAATGCAATAATAAATGAAAATAAGTAAATAAATGTATGAAAATGTCTTTGATGACTTGATGGTGAGGGGAAAGCATTCTGCACACACTCAGGTGATAACTTTTCTTCCTTATTGCTTCATGTGTCTCAGTTCTTGCGTCCCAAAGAAGAAAACCAGTTCTACTCCGGCCAGGTCACCTTGGAGAGGGCTTAGCAAATCTGAGGGGTTTTCATTTGCTTGCTTGCTTGCTTGCTTATTATCGTTGTCAAGTGAGCTCAGTGCAGATTACAGCAATAAATACTCAAAAAGAATCAGAAAATTGTGAAACCACAATATCGTCAGTCAGTTGCCTATCACAGGGCAATCTCTGAGTGACTTGCAACCCAGTCGAAAAACTTACAAAAAACTTACAACCAATAAAAATGGGAACAATCAAATCTATACATAAAACACCAGCCTCCAAATTATAACAATGGTTTTGCTGCCAATTCCTGTCCTTCTCCTGAGTAGCACATCCTCACCCCAGCCCAAGACATTTTGGCACCCAAACTGAGAAATCTAATGCCTGCCCACTTTGTGTTACGAAGATGAAGAGAATGATACTGTTACAAGCAAGCTAATATCTAACGGGACCTCAGGAGTTCCAATGCATATCCTGGGTTAGTTCCCTTTGAATGCGATCACTGGTGACTTACGGCATTTGGGTAATACGTTAATTAAATTTATACTCCACCCTTCCTGCCAAAGGAGCCCAGGGTGTTCCCCACCTCTGGTGTATATAAACCTTATATTAAAAGGTTTATATACACCAGGGGTGGGGAACCTGTCACCCTTCAGATGTTGCTGGACTTCATCTCCCATCATCGCTAACCATTGGCCAAGCTGGCCGAGGCTAATGGGAGCTGGAGTCCACCAACACCTGAAGGACCACAGATGCCTTACTCCTGATTTACACATATATACAGGCTGAGCATAAGATGGGGGTCCTCAGTATTCACTCCAAAAGATATTGCTCCCCTGGTTGCCTTCCCTCCTAATCTGACTTTCAACTGCCCATGGCTCCTAGAGGGCAATGAGCTAATTTGGTTTCATTTTTTCTTCCATTTCTTTTAAAGTCCATATTCCACACATACCTTGGGAGTCCCTCAATTATGCAAGAAAAAACCCTACTTTGTCTGGGAGTCGCCCTGTTTGAAGGCTCAGCATAAGGCCTCAAGGTTTGCTGTTTATGGGAGGACATGGTAAATAAATACTGCTGCAAAAGCTGGAGGTGATGCTTCTGCCTGTCATTTTGAACTGATGGACCTAATACCTCCTCCACAGAAGAGATCAAAGAGACAGCGAAGGAGGTAACCAACCCCTGGGGCAGGAATGGGCTGAAGTTTGCAATCAGCCCAGAAGTGCCTTGTAAAGCGACCTCTCCATGCTCCCCACAACGATCCCTGAAGATGAGACATGAGTGGCTCACCCCTGCATGCAAGGGCATGTGTATTGGCCTGTGACCTTTTGTACTCCAGTGACAATTGGCAGTGTTGCCCCTACAAAAGGTGAACAGAGCACCGTGTGGGTGTGCGGGGGGGGGGGAGATGTGGGTGTGTCAGTGTAGGGCCATGCCTCTCCATCTGATGCCTTTGTGATAAACCAGGAATGCGGTGGGCCCCACGGCAGACAAAAGGTGTGGGCTTCCTGCTTAACTGGAGGGCCAGCAGGATTGTACGTGCGCACAGCACAGCCTCCTGCTTATCAGCATGTTGCTCCCCAGGGCAGGACAGAGGGTGGGACCACACCGCTTGGAGCGCTTGCTTCCTTCAAACAGCTACATTCCTCAGGTGGGGTGTGGCAGCCCACAGAAGTCAGGGAAAAGATGCGCCAAGTGAGCAAGGCTCCCTCGACAGCAGGGATGGGGGACATCCTTGGCCCCGCAGGTGCCGCTGGACCCCAACACCCATCGCCCCTGACCGTTGGCCATGCTCTCTGGGGCTGGTAGGAGTTGGAGCCCAACAACTTCTAGAGGGTCACAGATCCCCATCCCTGCTCTAGAGAAAGATACTTGGGACTCACTCTCTCACTGACACCCGACAGCAAAACCGCAAAGGCGTTAGTGGTACCTCAGGGGAACCTGCAACTCAGAGTCTGTGTGCGGCCCTTAGCTTAATTTCATGTGGCCCTCAAACTTATTTTCAAGGGGGTGGAGGGAGCCGGAGGGAGAGGCCAAAAGCACAGGGAAAGAAAGGGAGAACCTGGGGGGGGGGGAGCCAAAACATATGGAAGGCTAGCAGGAGGAAGAAGCCCCTTGCTAGTCCATCCCTCAGCAGCATAGCGAGGCAAGAGGGGAGACAGAAACAAAGTGGGAGAAAGCAAGAAAAAGACCCACTATTGGCTCTGGTTTCACCCAATGCTGTTATATATCACCATTTTGATACACATGAAGTTTAACACAGGGCTGGCCTACCTTATGCAGACCCACCATACACACCGAACATTTAACAGGCTTGGCTTTCCCCAAAGAATCCTGGGAACTGTAGTTTCCTCCTTCTCACAGAACTTCAGTTCCCAGCACCCTTAACAAACTACTGTTCCCAGGATTCTTGAGGGAAAGTCATGCGTTTTAAATGTATGGCGGCTGCTCCATGCAGTAGAGGCTGGTGGGCAAGGAGCATGAGGTGTTGGAGGGCAGAGCTGTGTCTGCCCCATGGCCTGCCCTTTATCCCTCAAGCTCGCCAGATACCCTCAGGTGTGGTGGAGGATGCTATTCCATCACCAGCATTGAAGGAAGATTTTACTGCTGTCCCAGTCAGATTTTATTCATGGATTGGGAGGGGGCAGGGCTTTGTGTTTGGCTTCAGGCCCCTGTAAATACTAGAAACGTCCAAAAATGTGCCTCTTGCTAGGAGCCCTTCCTGATACTGACTCAGGCCCATGTTCTCTCCAGCCCTGAAGTCTTAGATCTTTTGTCTGAAGATGCCAGAGATTAAACCAAGGATGTAAAAAGGTGTGCTCTGTCCCTGAGCTGTGAGGCACGTTCTTGAGAAAAGTTAAGTATTGGCCACAGCATTGCTCAACAGGTCTCCTTTTCACAAAGGTAGATTCAGCTAAACAGGCAAGTTGGTGAAGGTGATGACTGCTCCGCATATACTTTGGCAGGACTAGGGATTTTGTTTACATTTTAATGAGCAACCATCTAATTTGCACTTCACGAAGTGAAACAGGTATCTTTTGAAATTCACACTTCTCCAAATTTTACGATGTAGTTCTCAAACCAAATGCTATGTACAAAATGCATACATATGAGGTGGGGAAACATGCCTAAAAACACAAATATATTCATCAAAATAACATACAAAAATGTATTCTATTAGGGGAAACTGCTTGCAAAAATGTATCTGTTGGACAAAGCTGCATATGACTACATGCTTATTAGGAGGAATCTGCACTAAAATGCTGATGAAAAATCATGAGGATTTTTGGAGAACTGAATTTAATAATGGGGGGAAATGAGAAAGACAGAGAACTGGAATGGACAGATTGGCCCATTCTCTGTGACAACTGATCCACATGCCACCACTTGCGGGGGGTGGGGGGGTGGGGAGCCTTGAGAAGCCAGATACAGGGGTCCTCATTGCCAACATCTGACACAATCCGTTAACTTCCCTGCTGTTAACCAATTTTATGGCTATGGCCTTTATTTAATGACGGTATGGGGTTCCCCAGATTAAAAGACACCAGTAGAGTTATCTATTGTTTGGGGAATCCTCTTAAACACACTGAATCGACTATTCACTACAATGTTATCAGAAGAGGATACATTTCCACTAGGGATCAGCTGGTAAGTGGATCCCCCCCTCCCATCTCAATCTTTGACTAATGAATTTTCTACATTGTTTAAAACTCTCAGGCCGCATTTGTAGGGAAATTATTTCCCCATTGTGGAGCCACATCACTGATTTAGAGTGGATTTGCTGAGAGCTTGGCTGAGGTCAGCACTGAAATGACAACCTTATCTGTATGTCAAGTAAATCTCACAATGGGTTACAAGAACATTAAGAGCTGCAGCAAACGGAAGGTTAATAATCCATCCTGTTTCTACCCTTCTCAGAATGAGGACAGGGTTTCGTGTTTCTCCATCTTCAAGGTTTGTGCTCAACCACTTTCTTCTTTTTGGATATACCTTGCTGTCTTCCAGAGGGGTGATCAGAGAGGTGAGATAGCATGTGGAACATTTTCCTCATGAAGCAAGACTTGCAAGGTTGCAACTAGTAGTTTTGAGTAGGCATGATAAAGGTTTGTAAAATTACTAGTCACCTGCACTTAACAAGTTGGCTAGTAAAGAATATACAATGGTACCTCGGGTTAAGAAGTTAATTTGTTCTGGAGGTCCATTCTTAACCTGAAACTGTTTTTAACCTGAGGCACCACTTTAGCTAATGGGGTCTCCTGCTGCTGCCGTGCCGCCAGAGCATGATTTCTGTTCTCATCCTGAAGCATCTGTAACCCGAGGTACCACTGTACCTTTCACATACCTCTCACAATGTCCTGCCCACTTATGCCTAGCTGCCCATTTGGCAGACCTTGGGAGAATCTTCCTTCCCAATTTCTCTTCCGATTGCACAACAAAAATGGCCGGCAAGTGTTGAAGCCAAGAGGCAGGATCAACCACCCTCCTATTGGTCACCCATAGTCATCATTGGCCTAACATTTGGGTCAGCTATTAAGACCGACTAATAGTTAAACTCGTCTTGTCTACACTAGTAGCTTCCCAGGGATAGAGGCTTATGGCGCTGATGTTATCAGACTACAGTTCCCATGATCCTGGACCACATGCTGGCTTGGGCTTTGGGGAGTTGGAGTCCAAGGACATCTGGAAAGACTCAGGTTGCCAATGGGTAGTAGTGACCAATGCATAGTAGTAAAGTAGTTCTTTCTTGAGGGACTGCAAACCAACATTGCTTCTGGCCTCTCTGTTAATACTGATACCATTCAAAAAAGAGACTTGTGCATATGATGCTGCTTAAACAGAGTCAGGCCACTGAGTCATCTGCTCTCCTCCAAGAGCTTAGGTAAGGGTCTTTCCTTATTTTAACTTTACTTAAATAAATATTCAAAGCTTTAAATAATTAAAATTCCCCTTCTGCTGGTTGCACAGAACCTTCTTTTCTTACAATGCCCAAAGAATAAGATTTTTTTCCTATTTGATAAGGAATCAGCAACAGCAGTCCTTGGGGCAAATCTGGTCCACAGGTTCTTTACCTCTCTCCACCCACATCCCAATTACCAAGAGTAGGATATGGGGGAGGAATTACATTTATATGAATGGGACCTGACAGCAGGCCATTTTAAAGAAGCATATGATTGGAGTCTTTTCTCAAATACGGTTGCCAACTGACCAGGAAAAAAGATGGACCACCCTGCTCCTGTGCCTTTAAGAACAGCCTGAGCTACAGTAATTGGCAGCTGAAGCTTTTTGCAACATGGAGATACATTCTATTGCCTGCAGGTGAAGCTGTTTGTTAATGCACAGGTGTAGAAGGGACAGTTTAAAATAGTCCATGGCAAAAAGAATTCCTGTCCAGAGCATTAGGTGCACCAAGAGGTTGGCATGCATTAAGAACTAGAAGCAAAACACACACAAAACCTAGAGGGCACAGACAATATAATCCTGTGCGATGCTGAGTATATGTAATGGTTCTGGTAGGCAACAAGAGCATTTCATAGCCAAAAGCATGAAAACAGGTTTGTTACACAAGAAAATACTGAACTGGGTACGAAGCAGAAAATTAAGACAATTCACTGGCTTAACAAAGACAGGTATGTTGTCAATGGCCCATTTAAGATCACTAGTTGTGATGTGTTATGGCTTTGTGCAGTCCCATAAATTCAGGAGCAATTATAAGGCCTCTCTCAATCTGTACATTCAGTCCTCATTGGAATCTATAAACAGTGGGCAGCTGAAGTTTCCAGTCAGAGAAACTCCCCATTCAGGTTCTCATAGTCTGACATGCCACAATGGAAGAGCCAATGAGAAAGTTCCACAAGGCAAAAAGAGTCAGGGAGTTTAAAGGGGGGGGGGTAGGAAGAAAATGGCAAACTACCATCAAAAATGGCACTCAGCTGTCTCCTCTTTCTGGGACAGTGCTTGCCCCAGTGGCTGCCCATGTATGCAGATATCTGGCTATGGGCACCTCCAGATTATCAGCATTTTGCAGAAGGGATTCAATCACATACCGGGAAATTTAATTAGTGCAATTAAAGTGGATTAAAGTGCTCTGCCACCCTAGCATGACAAGTGCACTTTCTTGGAAAAAGGGACTCCCAACATAGTCTCCCAACAAACGGACCGGAAGAAATGCTCGACAAAGGCCAGATATAATCTAACCTCCACGTAAACTTTGTACAAGCAAGTGGGGAAGAATGCACAATAAATCTGTCCTCTGGACGGCCCCTTGACTGCTGGATGGAATCCCCACATTCAGAGGCAGCACACCTTTGAACATCAGGTGATGGGGACACTGATGGGGCAGGGAGATGCTCTCCTACTGTGCTCACAGGCTTCCCAGAAGCATTTGGCTAGCTGCCACTGGACCAGAAACAAGCAAACTTGAACCAACCAATCCATAGCTTAAACAGGAGGTGGAAAGAACTACCAGGAAAGCATTGTAGAAGACCAGTTTGTTGTTGGGGTGGGGGGAGAGAGAATGACTTTAAGTCCTTTGAACTTTACAGTTCCTTCTTAAGGGTACTATAATAGAAGCAAACAACCGTACACATTATTTTTAAAAAACTACTGGCATCTCCTAATCATAGGCAGTGCTAAGGGATAGTACTTCTCTACGCGCCTATCGTTAAACTATGGAACTCCCTCCCACAGGAGGCAGTGAGGGCTACCCAGTTAGAGGGCTTTAAAAGAAGACTAGGCAAATTCATGGCTCCCAGCCACGATGGCTCTGCTCTGCCCCCACAGCTGGAGGCAGCAATCCTTCTGAGCACCAGTCACTGGAAACCACAGGAGGGGGGAGGGCGCTGGTGCTCGGATCCTGCTTGTAGGTGTCCCACTGGCATCTGGTTGGCCAGGGTGAGAGCAGGATGCTGGACTGGAGGGGCCACTGGCCTGATCCAGCAGGCTCCTCTCATGTCTTTGTTCTTAGCTTTGCCAGCCCAGCATTCTCCAGTTGCTTCGGATTACAACTCGCATCAGCCCCAAGCACGCTGCCTGGAGTACCCGCTGCTGCCCCGTCCATCTCCTCCTCTCCCTCTCCCCTGGTAGCCCTACCATGAGCTTAGGTGGCCTTGGGCTCCTTCTGGAGAAAGGGCAGTATTGAAAATGTAATAGATGGGAATAATGCTTTACATATGGCAGTGTTTGAAGGGCAATCTGATCCAAGACCGGTTCAAAAATAAAGAAACCTGTAAAGATCAAGAGAAAGATCAGATGTGTGGCATTTGCACTTGCCCATCAACAGTTAGCATTGCACCTGGAAAGAAGGCTGAGCAGGCCAATAATTATTTATTTATTTATTTATTTATTTATGCCCCATCCATCTGGCTGGGTTTCCCCAGCCACTCTAGGCGGCTTCCAACAAAAGATTAAAAATACAATTAAACGTCAAACATTAAAAACTTCCCTGAACAGGGCTGCCCTCAGGTGTCTTCTAAATGTCAGATAGTTGTTTATCTCTTTGACATCTGATGGGAGGGCGTTCCACAGGTCGGGCGCCACCACCGAGAAGGCCCTCTGCCTGGTTCCCTGTAGCTTTGCTTCTCGCAATGAGGGAACCACCAGAAGGCCCTCGGCGCTGGACCTCAGCGTCCAGGCAGAACAGAGTGGGTGGAGAAGCTCCTTCAGGTATACTGAGCTGAGGCTGTTTAGGGCTTTAAAGGTCAGCACCAACACTTTGAATTGTGCTCGGAAACGGCCTACACATCATCTAGCCACAGTCTTCCCAACTATAATTTTACTTAATTATAGTAATTGTTCCTAAAAAGGTTTTATCAATCTGTACCTTCTTTGGTCCTCCTTTTTGGAGATGCCCAGGTGAAAGTCCCACCATGGGTGGGCAGAGTGAATGTGGGCTTGAGAGGTCTACATACAGTATCCTGCTCACGGGTCCACAAAAGCCTGAAGCCCTCCTTGGGAAAAGCACTCTGCGTGTGCTCAAAGGAATTAGTTCACATTCTTTTTCTGTATTAACTGAGCTGCAGTATAGAATGCAGGATTTGTCCTCAAAATTAGGTACTGGGAGATGCATCTGAGTGATCCAGTGAATCTGCGGAGATGAGAGTTGAACCAAAATGGGAAATACAGTGGTACCTCTACTTACGAGCACCTCTGGTTATGTATCCTTCAGGATATGCGCGCAGCAAACCCGGAAGTATTTTCCTGGGTTTCATTGTGCGCACATGTGCAAAAGTGCTCTACCGTGTCACGCGCATGCACGGAACAGGCACCTCTGGTTGCAAAAACCTCAGGATCCTACTGGAGCTCCAGAACAGATCCCGTCTGCAACCGGAGGCACCACTGTAACTGTTTTGAGTTACACAAACTCTACGGAGAGATTTGGAGGAGGCTTGAAGATGTGTGACCTCAGCCTTCACAACTGAATTTGCTGTACTAACAAGAGGGGGGAAATCTTGCTTCACCACCAAGTCAGGTCTGCTGATGAAGAATCTACAACAGCCTCCTCCAACCTGGTGCCCTCCAGAGGTTCTGGACAGCAACTACCGTACCTTCCATCACAGCCAGCATGGTCAATGGTTGGGGATGATGGGAGTTGTAATAATAACAATAATAATTTTTATTTATACCCTGCCCTCCCCAGCCAAGGCTGGGCTCAGGGCTGCTAACAAGCAATAATAAAAACAAGTTGAATGAATGCAACTTAAAAACAGGATTAAAATACAACATTAAAATATTGAAATATTAAAATATTAAAATGTAGCCTCATCGCAGGAGAAGAAGGAAAAAAGAAAGAGAGGGAGGTAATCAAATTGGCTCCAAGCCAAAGGCCAGGCGGAACAACTCTGTCTTACAGGCCCTGCGGAAAGAAATCAGATCCTGAAGGGCCCTGGTCTCATGAGGCAGAGCGTTCCACCAGGCCGGAGCCAGTGTTGAAAAGGCCCTGGCTCTGGTTGAAGCTAATCTAACTTCCTTAGGGCCCAGGACCACTAGGTATTTATGGACCTTGAGGCTCTCCGTGGGGCATACCGGGAGAGGCGGTCCCGTAGGTACGAGGGTCCTAGGCCATGAAGGGCTTTAAAGGTCAAAAGAAGCACCTTAAATCTGACCCTGTATTGCACCGGGAGCACTGGGTGAATATGCTCCCATGGCAGAGACCCCGTGAGGAGTCTCACTGCAGCATTCTGCACCCGCTGGAGTTTCTGGGACAGCTTCAAGGGCAGCCCCACATAGAGCGAATTACAGTAGTCAAGCCTGGAGGTGACCATCGCATGGATCACTGTTGTAGAACAAACAGCTGAAGACCACTCAGTGAGAAAGCCTTTGGGAGGACACCAGGTGGCAGGTCTGGTGGTTTAATGCTAAAGAAACCAACACAGGAGAGCACAGGGTGTTTCTGGGCAGAAACGCCCTTACAAAGTCCAACGTAGCTTTAGGGTTATGAAATCCATGCTGCCTCGTGGGGCTCTGATAACGCTGGAGGAAGCAGCCAGACCTAGCCCCACCCTCACCCACAGCAAAGGCTTTTACAGGATTGTGAAATGTTGCCACAATGTATCACCACAGATCTTTCCAGACAGCAATTCCTCCCTTTAAGGGTCATGGATCAGCAGTAGAGCACCTGTCTTGTGTGCAGAAGGCCCCTGGTTCAAGCCCCAGGTGGGGCTCGGGGTGACCTGGGGGTGAAACCCTGGAGAGCTGCTGCCAGTCAGTGCAGATAGTACTAAGCTAGATAGACCAATAAGCTATAAAGGAGCTTTTTTTTTTTTTTTTTTGTATGGCTTAGTTGAGATTCCTGCATTGCAGGGGGTTGGACTAGATGACCCTCAGGGTCCCTTCCCATTGTATGATCCTATGTTCCTTCCATCCTTCTTTTCTTCCCTGCCTACCCTGATGTGGCCCAAAGGAAAGCAGAGCGAGATGTTTGGCACCAGCTTGGCAGAAGGAGCTGCTGGAAAGAGGTGAACAAGGCGCCTTCCAACCGCCTTAGGGACTCCACTCTGGATTCGGGTAGGGTTTACTCCTTAGCTGCAGATACCTAACCAGGTCTACTCAGAAGCATGTCCTACTGCATTTAATGAGGCTTACTCTCCGGTAAGCAAGGCTAAACCAGGCGCTGAATCTGAGGAGACACATTTGGACCACCAAATAAATGCAGCTCCATTAACTATGAACCCTGAACTTTGGGACCCCTTCCAAACCTTTTGTAGGGCAAATCCCATGTTTTGTAGGGGCCCCCATATGGGTACCGTAATTGACACTCGGACTGGGGGTCATAGGTATCCCCCAGAAACCCAACATTGTCCCATTCACTCCAAACTTGTGTCAAAGTTTTGTAGCAAAAACCCTGCACTCTGCAGGTCGGAGCCAACTTCTGGGGCTGAGGGGTCTTCAGTCCCCCAATAAAACATTTGAGGGGGCAGGGCCCCCCAAAGTTGATGGGCATTACCATTCAAATGGTGTGCGTGCAGCGTGTCATGTGATATGCCCCCCTCCAATATTTTATTCAGGTTGGCACCCGTGGTAGATCCCCCCCCCAAAAAAACCCTGAGTAATTGATACTACGTCCCCCCGGTTTGTGGGTGGTCCTACAAAACGCGGTCTTCGCCCTACGAAAGGTTTGGAGGGTGTCCCAAATTTCGGGGTTCGTAAGTTTTGGAGAGGGAGTAAGGAGGCGGAGAAGTAAGGGAGGCTGCTTAACACCTTGCAAAACGCATTCGGCTTGCAGCAAGCAGCCCTTGGATGCGATGGCCGAAGCCTTTCGAAGGCGCGGACACACCGCGGTGCCTTCCTGAGAAAACCGGAGTGGTCGCGCCGTCGCTCCTCCTTGGAAGCGAGTTGGGGGCGTCGGTTCCCGTCCGCCCCTTCCGCGCGGCGCCCGGCGGAGGTGGGGCGTGTGGGCGCCGGCCAGGCCCGCCCTCGCGGCCGCCGGCACTATAAAGCGCGACGGGAGGCGGGCGCCGCCGTTCGCCCCTTGCAGCCCGCAGCGCAGCCGGCCTCCTCTTGCCCCGTCGCCGCCGCCATGAGTTACTCCAAGTCCAGCGTCTACTCCAGCTCGTACCGGCCCGTCGGGGGCTCGGTGCGATTCGGGCCGGTGGCCAGCGCGGCCAGCGTCTACGCCGGGGCCGGCGGCTCGGGCTCGAGGATCTCCGTCTCGCGGTCGTCCAGCCTCGGCTCCAGCTACGTCGGGGGCGGCGGCGGCGGCGGCTATGGAGGCAGCGGCTTCTCGCTCTCCCTCTCGGGCTCCGGCGTGGTCCACAACGAGAAGGAGACCATGCAAGACCTGAACGACCGCCTGGCCAGCTACCTGGAGAAGGTGCGCAGCCTGGAGGCCGAGAACCGCCGGCTGGAGATCCAGATCCGAGAGCACCTGGAGAAGAAAGGGCCCAGCACCCGCGACTGGAGCCGCTACTTCGAGCTCATCGAGGACCTGAAGAATCAGGTGAGCGGGGGGGGGGCGCCGAGAGCAGCCTGCCTCCGGTACCGGAGAGGCCGGGGGCTCCGAGCCTACACGCAGGCTGAGAACCCCTCGCCGCCCTTGATCCCCGCCAAGGCCACAGCCCTCGAGCCAAGTTTACAGCGAGGAGGTTTGCAAAAGTAGAAGATGCAAGCTTAGTAGCTCAGTAGAAAACGGCAATGAAGGAGTAGTTAAAAGTAGCCGGAACTGTTCCGGGGGTGGGAGGCACCTTGCACATGCCCCGATGCACTTTCTTCTCCGTACATAACATAACTTTATATGTTCCAGAGCTGAGCTCCAACCTTGAAAAGAATGTAGGGCTTAAACCCAGTCGGTGTCAGGTTCAGAGAAGGTCAAGGAGACGAAGTCAGTGCCTCTCCAGAAGTGACATCGTTTGATCCCCATTAGAATTTGCCCTTTGCACATGCATCTTCCCGCCCGTACAGTAATGGATCTTTGCTCCATGGAATATAGAAGCCCCACTTTGTCTGATGTGGCCAGAGGCCATTAGCTTTCGGCTTCAGCTCCCTCCCACTAGCTTACGGTGTTTTCTTTAGACAGCCACTAAGAGGCTGCCTAGTGTTAACCACAAACTGTGTTGCCAGGTTTTCAAACCATCCCTGAAACTCAGCTTTTAACAGTGGTTTGATATACCAAGAGAGAGCAAACCACAGAGAGAAACCATATCCCCTGCTAATTCGTGCATATCAAGCCACTGTTAAAGGCATAGCTACAGAAACTATTTGAAAAGTTGGCAACCCAAACGGCAAAAAAACCCACATTGGCACAGATTGATGGTGGAGAAGAGAGAATGCCTGGAACTTAGCCAATAGTTTTTGCCCTGGGTTCAGCAAGTCTGAAATGATAATCACTAATTTGCTTCCGTTCATGAGGTCAGCAGTGCTATTCAGGATTTCATAAGCATCCACCAAAGTATTTATTTTCTGCTAATTCAACTGGTAGCTTCCCTTGAAACCTCTCTGTATCCCAAGCCCCACCTTCTTGTTCATATACCAGGTATGCTAGGTGCAAAAACAGTTAACCATTTTGGGTTTTTTCTTTTTAAAAAAATGAGAATATTATTGTATGGAATATATAGGGAAGCTATTGTATGTATCAGTCTTGGTATGAACCAGAGCTCAGCAGCCCTTGAAACCAGGTTGTCATAATAGCAGAAAGGGTGCTTTGGGGCATGTGAGGATTGCCCTTCTCGCCCCCAAGTATACTCAGTCAATACGTGTAGGTCTTTGGATAGGATTTAAGATTCCAGTAACTTGAGTGTGGTACCATGGAAGTGTGAGTTCCAGTGATTTTAATTTTTGAAATTAATCCTTGGATAGGAGAACACACCTCTACATCAGGAGAGCACTCCCTTCCCAGTGGAATCCTGTTATGGGTCTAGATTTGCTGCTCTTGTATTCTGTTTAACTGCTTCCTGACAGTTCAACAGGTGAAGGGTTTCCAATAATGTAGCTTCACGTTTTGAATTTCTGCACAGGACCCATGTGGAAGCAGGAGGTCCGGGGAAGGTAGCAGAGAACCCATACAAAGAGGCAGAAAACCACTCCACTTGCTCCTATCATAAACCTAGCTCTTGTTCCTTCCTAAGAGTTTCATGACCAGGTGTGATTCCTGGTTCAGTAGCTGCATGTGCACACACAGGTCAATCATGAACCAGACTATGGGCTAATCATTGCCACGTTAGCAATTGCAGGCAGCTGCAGCCCGTCCTTTCCAAGGAGGTTGGGTGTGCGGGATTCACTCTCCCCCTAATTCATTCCTGTAAACCCCGTTGTCTTTCTGTCTGTGGGGCTAGAGTTATCCACTTCTTTTCCTCTGCCTATACTCCCTTGCACTGAGATCAGTTGTGCACTACATAGAAAGCAACTGAAGCTTTTCTTCTAACATGGAGAAGCAAGAACAGAGGGACAGGGAAAGTCTGCAGAAATCCAGGCGGTTGTGCATCTGTAAAGGCACAAAAAGCTTATTAAGGAGGGAGGAAAGAAACAGGTAACCAATAGAAAGCGTCAGTCTGGCTTACTCAGGAGGAAAAGACACTCTAACCTCCCCCCCCCAATACAAGTCAAACAATTTATATTTAGTCATAGGTCATAACAAGGAAGTACTAGGCTGCCAAAGAAGATGGCTCAATAAAAAATACCAGGGGAGGGGAACTTGTGACCCTCCAGCTGTTGCCAGAATACAGATCCCATCATCACTTGCCATTGGCCATGCTGGCTGGCTGGGAGTCCAGCAACAGCATCCGGAGGAGACAGTGCTGTACAAAGTGAACAAGTAATTAATATCTCATGTTTTACTGCCACTGCGAGAAAAGGCATCGAATCATACAATTGTAGTGTTGGAAGGGACCATGAGGGTCATCTAGTCCAACCCCCTGCAATGCAGGAACCTTTTTGCCCAACCTGGGGCTGGAACCCACAACCCTGAAATCAAGAGTCTCATGCTTGACTGACTAAGCTACCAAGGTCGATACACATTTTTCAAACACGAAACAGGTTTAGGGTCTAAGGCTCTAGTTAAAACTGCCCTGCTTCTAGTTAAAACTGAGAGCTGAGGCTCCACTCCAAAAATGAGGACTTGAATGTGACACAGACAAGAAGTCACCTCAGTCGGTTTCTGTGCCTTTTACAGGGGTGGCCAAATGCAATAGAGGACAGAGCTCCTGTGCCTTTTAAAACACCAGTTAGAAGAAGGAATTGCCTGTGCCCCATATAGTTAAAGCATGTTGTTTCCCCCAGAGAATCCTTCACAGAGTTACGATTCCCAGCCCCCTTAAGCTACAATTCCCAGGATTTTTGGGGGGGAGCTTTAAATGCATGGTGTCTACACAGCCTTAGTAGGTGTAGTTTGTCATGCAGGCAATACACCATCTGAAATTCCCATTTTAAACTACAGCTTGGGAGCACCCGCCCCATATGCCTGCCTTGCCTCTTCAATGTGCAAAGCGTGCCCTCCTGCAAGTACAACGCATAGGATATACACTCCAAGTCTGTGGGGAGTGGCGCTTTCAGTGTGGCAGCACCTGTTTGTGCTGTGTTGTCTAGCACTTGCGGATCCTTTGAATAAGCAGTTTATAGATAAGGGGAGCACTGAAATGTACAGATCTTGTTCTGGTCCCCACCGCTGCATGAACGTGCAAAATCCACATGCAAAGCTTCATCCTAACATGCACACATAGCAGTGGGTGAAAAGGCTTCTGAACCTTTCAATTTCCTTCATGCCCTGTGACTTCTGGGAAACTGGAACCTTGTGAGGCGGGAAACCAACACCCAGAGGCTATAGCAGTTGGGTTCAAAGGACAATTGTGTGCTGGGAAGAATGACTGAGGGTAGATTAATTATAAAAAAATATGTTTGTTCTCGTGAGTCATGTTTAGTCAATCAGCAAACAAAGTGTGCACACAAAAGGATAACAGTGGAAACTACTTTAGCACCTGGTGAGAGCAGGTGAATGGGACAAAAGGGAAAGGGGCTGGGTTAGAGGCCACAGGTGCAGGTGCAGAAGATGAAAGAGGTGCAGGGAAGGTCTCCTGGGAAAGCTCAAGGGGGAGGGATGCATTTCCAGAAGCAATGCCCCTTCCCCAAAACACAAGGAGAGAGAAAGTTTCCATAAAAAAATATATATCAAAACCAGGCTTCTATGCCAGGCATGGGCAGCATTTGCATTTGTGAGGGCCACCTTGGGACACTTGCAGCCTTACATGTTCTCCAGGCAGCTGCTGACAGGATGGTGGTGAAACCAGAGCACATTTAAGTCCCTCATAGTTTACACCTTAAGGTGTGGTTGCCTGGAGCACACCCAATGGCCAGAGAGCCTATCCTCACAACCTTCCCTGTTATCTGTTCCTGCTAAGAACAAAGGGCTTCTTTAAACAAGCAGGATTTCCTACAGAGAAGAAGCAGGGCCATTTTCACATGAGAGGCAGAGAGGGAAAGGCCAAGAGTCACTGAATTTAAAGAATCAGTCACAGAACTGCAGTGAAGTAGAATCTATGCTTTGGGGATCCTTCAACATCCGAGTTTACAGATGGCATAGGATGCATCATGTTGGGAAGGCAAGGAAACCATTTTGTCCTTGTGCTTCTACTTGCAAAGGAAAGAAGGTGGTTGTCTCACCCACTGTCTTAACTTGAGAGGTGTCCCTTTAAGAATCTCTCCTCCTCTTGTTGCCTTGGGAACTGGGAAGGTGAATTGCACCTGTGTTGGCTTAAGCAAACAATAGGATCTGTGTAGGCTGGCAGGAAATCAGTAGATTCAGGTTGCATTAGCCTTCACTGGACCAGAAACAAAGAGGAAGTTGGCAGTCCTTGGCATAAGGCTGGGAAAATAATTTTTGAGTGACACCAACTTACTCCAAGATCAGTTGGCTTAAGGATGAGGGTTGCCAACTTTTATTTCAGCCCCTGCTCCTCTTCCTTTGAACAGCACCCCAGTTTGCAAATGTTAGCAGGTGATGTTTGCCTTGATGATGAAACTTGAAAGTTTATTCGGCTCAAGCTGCTGTTGGAGGAGCAATGCCTGGTTATGTCCTTTTTTCTGGACAGTTGACAACTCTTCTAAAGGCTGGTAAATGTCTTTCACACACTACATTAATTACTAAGTTTTGTGCTTCCTTTCTGTCCTCAGATCTTTGACCAGACAGTGGATAACGCTCGAATTGTTCTGCAGATTGACAATGCCAGGTTGGCTGCTGATGACTTCCGTGTAAAGTGAGTGGATTTTCTTCTTGTTGGTCCTGTTTGGTCCTGGGATCCCTCCAGAGGCCCATCTCTGTAGAACATGAGACTCAGGGTTCAAGTCCCACATTGGGCAAAATATTGCTGCATTGCAGGGAGTTGGACTAGATGACCCCCGTGTTCCCTTCCAAATCTGATTCTATGATTTTATCATTTTGGGACCTTAGAGCCGTCTTTCCCAACACCTTTCCCCAGATGTTGGTCTACAGTTTTCATCATCCAAATTCAGTAAGGTCGATGGTCAGGGATAAGGTGAATTGTGGTCCCACATCTGGGGACCCAAGGCTGAGAAAGACTGCCTTGGGGTGTAAAGTATCACTATCTCTATATGTGTGTCATTTCATATTTTTATGTTGTAAACTGCCCTGTGATCTTTGGATGAAGGGCAGTATATTAATTTAATTAATGATGGTATCCGTAGTTAGAGCAAAAGCAGCAGCCTCTAACTCTTCTTTTTCCATGGGGCGGTAGGCATGTATAAAGCCTACAGATATCAGAAAGGGAGGAACACAAAGGCCAGTGGGTCTCCTCCATCCCTGCCTACGTGATGTTGTGTAGGACTCCGGTTTGCTTCCAGAGCACCTTGCATTCAATCTCAATGAGTCCTGGTTCCAGTGGTAATTTCTGTCTCCAGTGGAATGAGGCCATTTGAGTGGCGAGCAATATCAGGCAGATGGGGGTCACCTGCTAGGCTGCCAAAAAACAGAGTGGAGGGCATTTAAGTGGGGAAGGCCTAAATCCATACAGTCATTGGATGACACTGGGGTTTCAATGGCTAGCCATGCATCTGTCCAGACAAAGGAAGGCATAAACTCATTCACTGGGCTGAGAAGACTTTGGGTAATCCTGTAAAGTCAGGGTTTAAAGGAACCAGGCACTGAGTGGGTGGGAGAACTGTTGTTGGACTCCCACCCCACCAGCCCCCAAAAGCATAACCAATGTTCTCGACGGGCACTGTAATCCAGCAATACTGGAAGGCCCCACTCCTAACCCACAAGTATTCCAGAGTGCTTTAAAAAAAATCTGTAAATTTTGTGCCAAGAATAGATTAATCCCCCAACCTGCAAATGTTATGCACATTCAACAAATTTGCACAATTTCTCTCAATTCTGCAAAATTTGTTCACTATTTTATTTAGCATTTTGCATGCATGAATTTATTCTGGTTTTGCTAATCCCAGAAGAGGGACAAGGAGCAGTATAAAGCACCAAAGATCCACCCTTAACCAATGGAGATCTTACCCAGCAACCTCTTTGGCCTCTAAACTGTCAGCAGACATTACATGTTTTCAAGCGTATGTTTAGAGTCAATAAGGGCTAGAAACTTCAAAATAAAAATCAAGAAGCCGAATTCTTCATTCACCTGCACTTTTTGTGCATTTACCTAGGATCACTCACGGCATGTGCACACCCCTGCTTCTTACACTCTGAATTAATCCCCCCATCACCAGTGTGCACATCTGTTTGCAAACTGATTATTGTGAAGACCTCATTCCTTCTTCCCTGTCACCCAGGTTTGAGGCTGAGCTGGCCATTCGTCAGTCTGTGGAGAGTGACATTAATGGCCTCCGCAAAGTCATTGATGATACCAATATGAGCCGCCTTCAGCTGGAAGGTGACATTGAGGCCCTCAAAGAAGAACTGATCTTCCTGAAGAAGAACCACCAAGATGTAAGTCTCTACTGCGGTCACTGGGCAGAGACAAGATGGAGGTGGCAGGAGCAATAGTTTGATGGAAGATACTGACTGGGGCCTGTCATGAATGGAATCAATGGCTTTGCACATTTGGGACACACAGCAGCTTCAGAGTCTGTGCTCATTTTATGCCTCCTCTTCCCTTGCTAGGAAGTCAATGCGCTACAGTCCCAGATTGCCAACTCAGGACTGACAGTAGAAGTAGATGCTCCCAAGTCACAGGATCTGGGCAAGATAATGGCTGAAATCCGGGCACAGTATGACACCTTGGCTCAGAAGAACCTTGAGGATTTGGACAAGTACTGGAGCCAGCAGGTGAGCAGAATAACTTTTGCAGCTTGATCCTGACATGCCCCCATAGCATTTCAGGGTTTTTACAATAAGAGAGAGGTTACTGTCCCCAGAACTATAACCCTGACTGTCCTCATGAAGAATAATATTTCTTCCCACCTTTCCATTAGATCACTGAGAGCACCGTCATGATCACCCAGAATACCAAGGAGATTGAGACCGGCCGTGCTACTGTCACTGAGTTGCGCCGCAACGTCCAAACACTGGAAATTGAGCTGGAGTCTCTGCGCAACCTGGTACGATCTTCACCTCTCATTCCAAATACTGCAGGGGTAGGGAGCCTCAGTCCAGGGAGCTATGTGGCCCTGTGGACCTCTCTGCCTGGCTCTTGGGAATCTGCCCAGACCAAGCCCCCTCACCTTGCCCTCCTCTAGTGATATTTACCAGGCTGGAATGTGTGATAATAGCTGTTCCTTGCCTGGATGGCGGTGGGGGTGGGTGTCTGGCCAAACCCCCAGATGCGACCACCTTGGAAGGTTGCCCAGAAAGGAATATGGCCTTTGGGCTGAAAGGGGCCCCCGTTCCTGAGCATAGTAATATAGTAATGTAGCGCTTGCTTGTTTGTGGTGCCTTGTTAGTGTTTTAAGTTCTGTATTGAGAGAGAGGCACTCTGCATGGAATTATTTCATAAAGCAAAGGTGCAGCCTGTTCCTGTAACGGAGGCAATATATGGAGTGTATGGGATGGAAATACCACCTAAGAACAATCAAAGTGTTGTTGGCTTAGCAAGCAATGACCCTGATCCCCAATCCTGTCCCCTTTTTTATTCTCTCTACAGAAAGCCAACCTGGAAGGAAACCTCCTTGAAGTGGAGAGCCGCTACGGCATGCAGATGGAGCACCTCAATGGGCTATTGCTGCGGACCGAGGCCGAACTGGCACAGATGCGGAGCGATGTCCAGCGCCAGGCAGAGGAATATCAGGCTCTGCTGAACATCAAAGACAAGCTGGAGGCTGAGATCAATACCTACAGAACCCTGCTGGAGGGCGGAGATGAGTTCAAGTGAGCTTTTCATTCTTTCATCTTTCTGGGGCAAAAACACAGGACTGGTCATCTGGGCTCTCCCAAGCTAGACACAGATGTTCTATAGATCACCATAGCTCTGGTGTATGTGGCCCTTTCCCTGCTCTTTCTCTGTAAGCTCTGGAACATCATTTCCCAATCTTGGAGGGGAAACTGCTTCTAGTCACAATGGCTATATGCTACCTTCGGGATCGGAAACACACACCCCTCGATGCCTCCAGCTGCCAGGCATGGGGGAACAATGGCAGGAGAGGGCTATTGTACTCTGTCTTGCTTTTGGGCTTCCTGTAGGTACCTGGTTGGCCAATGAGGATGAGAGAGGATGCTGGACTTGATAAGCCTTGGCTCTGCTTCAGCAGAGCTCTTAATGTTCTTTTAAAGTGTGTGTCTTGACTGAATTAGGATAGAAGGTGTGATGCTCACTAATGCCAGAGGAGATTTACTTTTACAGTACTTCAGAGTAGACCTGTTAAGTGGAAGCCACAGGTCAGTCTTAGCAACTTGAGATGAACCTTGTGCACAGTTCTATTCTTAAGTTCTAGGACATCCTTTCATGATGGACAAATTCTAGACTCCCAAGTACACTTGCCGAAATGGATTGTCACTGGTCCTGGCCTTGCGACCCCTAGGCCCATGAGGCTTCAGGTTGGGCTGCTTAAACCACCTTAAATTGGCTTAAGATGACTGGATTTCCCCAGGAGGTAACAAGGAACTGGCAGCAGTGTCTCATGTTCATTGTCGGTGCCTTCTGTCTCTCTTCAGCCTGAAAGATGCATTACTGGAAAGCACCATGCAAACTACTCAGAAGATCCACACCACCAAGATCATTGATGGCAAAGTGGTGTCGGAGACGAACGAAAGCAAAGTGATGAAGCGTTGATCCCACCTGCTGTGTGGCAAGGATTGGCACCCGGTGCAGCTAACGTTGCGCACCTTTTGTTCCAGAGCTGGAGAGTTCCGGGGAGGGAGTGGGGTGGGTCTTAATGGAATTCAATAAAGAAATGTTATTAAAAGAAGTGGTGTGGTTTGTATGCCTATTCGTCTATTTTGCAGAGCCCCCTCCCTCAGTCGGTCCTGACCCTGGGAATCCTCCTGCAAGTGGTTTCCGTATTCAGTGGCTTTGCACATGGTGTGCCTTGGAACAGGACACCCCTGTGCCTTGCATGGATACTGAGGCATGTTCTAAGATGCTCACTCTGATGCCTGTTGGGCTTTTTGCCACTTGTGAGACAGAAAATGCATCTTAACACAAATGGATTTTCTAGAATAAGGGGAAATCTGGTTTAAATGTTTAGAGAATGACCATGACAATGCATGGATGCACGCCATAAGTTCATAAAAGCTTATGTTGTAATAAGCAATCTACAGCAGCCGCATTAAGTGACCCTTGGTTGCCAGCACGCCCAGGAAGGCAGCGTCAGGCCCTCTGATGAATGGAATATCGGTTTACTTACTGGGAGCAAAACACTCCTTTGCAAATATTTGTTTGCAGGGAGAGGGCCATTTCCAGGAAAGGGATCCAGCCATAAAAGATTGCGCAGCTTGCCTGCCAAGCCCCTACCATGAATTACCTTTGAGGCTGCCCCACCCAAGGAAACTGAAGTGTTACCCACCCCTGTTCATTACTAGGGGATTTCTATAGCAAGAGAGACGGGGACCCAAGTCCTGGGTCTTGTGCTGGACCTTGGCTCGCCTGTCCTTCATCCCTTATAAAAAACCAACCACTATATAGTACAGCAAAGTGAAGTGTTGAGACTCCAGACAACCACCATTTTAATTTATTCCCAAACCTATGTTTTAAGAAACTCTTTCATGTCACAGGCCTGTGTCCCAAGTGCTTTAAGTACTGTTAGGAATTTGTGGGCTGGGGGGAAGTCCTGGGCACCAGAGACCACTTAGCAGTGTAAAAATGCAGGCTGAATCTGCTCCCTGGCAAGGAACTGCTTGGGGAGAAGAACCACCATGTAGTACAAAGGAAGGTAATGGCCCATTGGCACAAACAGTACCTCCTCCCATGAGGGGCTGGTGAGCAGAGACAAAAGCCAGGTTTAGGCTGGGAGGAGGGGGGGCCCAGGTTACAGGGGGTGTGATGTCACACAGGAAAAAGGTGTCCTTTTAAAACTGACTTTGGAGGAAAGTGCAGAGCTGCCTGGGAGAGGCTGCATGTAGAGACGGGGAGCATGGCTGGCTTTTGCTCTGGACCCAAGCTTGCTGAAGTTCAGGGAGAAGCAACAAGAGACACTCGGGGTGTAATGTTCTGCGCTTCCACCATCAAAAATCAGATGTAAATCAACCATATTTCTTAAAGACACTGCAGACTCTGCCATACCTCATTCCAAACCCTGGTTTCCCAGATAATCCTTCAACATGCAAACCACTATACCAACACGGGCTCCTGGGTGTGTCATCTTCAGTCTTGGAAGAAATGGTACTTCACAAGTTCTCAGGTATTGGATTCTCACAGAAATCTACAATCTATAGGCAATCAATGCCCCAAGGCATAGAGCTGAATCATTTGCTAGGAATGGACAATATTGCTGTTAGTCAGCCCCTCTAACATTACCCTTGTATTCCTCAGCATCAAGGGCAACAGCTTTTCCTGCATGAGTTCACTGTATGGAATGTTTTTGAAACAAGGTGGACTTTGAATTTTATTGTCGGGAATGGAGGGACTATCTGGAGAAATGTGTATGTTGGCAGAGTGTCCGATTACTGTGAAATGTGCAAGGCTTGGGCAGACTCTTGCCAAATAGGGAATTGGGTGCCCCAAGCTTCCAAGGTAGAGGGAGGAGCTTGAAGCCAGTTGGACAGAACAGAGATCACCCTACAGCTATGTGTGTGTGACAACAAAAGAAAATCACCTGGGAGATAGCCTTGAGTAGAGAAGATTAGTAACTCAGATTGCCATGGAAAATGCATATATAAGCAAAAGCCCCTTGTTGCTGCCTTATCTTTAAATACAAGCCTGGGGCTGTTTGCAACCCAGGCACAGATAAGAGGAAGTCTGTGTGGAGAAATGGATTAACTCCCACCGCTTGGATGTCTTTGGGTAACTTGCTAGTTCATCTCACTACAAAAAACAGCCCAACCCAGAGGTCTGAACCTGCAGCAGTGGAGCACATTGTGCAACTGTGCTTGCTTGGGGACCCAACAGATGGCTAGCACTGTCAGTGTGGCTCCACAAGTCACCTATTTTGTGACATGTTCTCCCTCTGTCCTCCAAGAGGTGACTGATGCTTACAGCAGCTCACTGGTGCTGCATGTCCAGTCCTGATTCAGTGATAAAAAGCTCAAAAAAACCTCATATAGTTCAGGAAAGCTGATAATAATAATAATAATAAAAATAAATAAAAAAATTATACCCCGCCCTCCCCGGCCAGGGCTGGGGAGCCTGTGGCCCTCCAGATACTGTTGGACTCTCATCAGCCCAACCAGCATGGCCAGTGGTTAGGGATGGTGGGAGTTGGACTCTGGCAACTGCTAGAGGGCCACAGCTTCCCCACAACTGGCTTTCACCATAATAAATGTGTTCCATAGCACTCTAATTGTTTTATCTTGTTCTGTAACAGACTAGGGTCTCACCCACACTTCCACTTGCCCTATCCTTTCTAGGTGTGGGTCCAAAAGGTTTTGCCTTTGCTCCACTGCTTTCTCCTGGAAAACCAACTTTTTAGCACTAAATTGGAGCAAACATTAATCCAGAGAAAATGCAGTTGACCTTTGCTCCAACTCAGGCATAAAGGTCGGCTTTTCTGGGGGAAAGTAACGGGACAAACAGAAGTGAGGATCAGACCTAATATTGCCCACCCTACACTGAAGAATAATATTTGTTTGACTTAATGGCTTCTCTATGCTACAAAAGACACAAAGATCATTGCATCTGAGTGTGTGGGGAAATTATTGCCCTGGGAGCCCACTAAATAATTTAACCTGGCTCTCTTGACGCCTTCCTTCTGAGTTCTGCATTTTTGGGAGGATAAATTTTGTAGAAGGGGCTGCTACCAGGCATACATATGCCAAGGGCCAAAGGATTACTTAAACAAAGCAATCTTTGTGGAGATACAACTAATATCCCTTAGATAAAGTTTCACTGCTCTTCACTGGCTCCAGGAACCTTTAGCAGTGCACATTCTGGACACTATTTGGAGATTAGAATGACCCTGGAGGATAATGACACAACCCTTTAACAACCAACTCATACTTGGGGCCCATCCAGACTCTGGCTTTGTGCAGCCCCGGGGCCAGCCCAGAGGCTTCGGGGAGCTAAGTAGTAGACCTGGAAGCTTCAACAACTCACACCCACATGCTTCTTTTTCTCTGAAAATCTGTGTCAATATTTAAAAGGATGGGCCTACCATTATCACATATAACAGGGATGGGGAACCTGTGGCACTTCAGATGTTGTTGGACTACAACTACCATCATCCAGTGCCAGATTTAGGGTGGTGCAGGCACTTACCCCACACAGGGCTCTGAACCAAGGAGGTGCAAAACTGAGAAGATCCATAGCTGAGAAGATCCATTTGGAAGTGCCAAATTTTGGCCTCACACAGGGTGCCATGGTCATCCCTGGCCACTTCCCATGCTGGCTGCAGCTGATGGGAATGGAATTCAACAACATGTGGTGTCATATACCTTGGGCCCAAGCCTTTCTTATGAGCTATCTGACACATACATGAATGGCTGCAATACAGATTTAACGAGGCAGAAAATTAAGGCCCATGGAGGAAGACAGATTTGCAATTCTACTTCAATGGACATGCACTTTTTCTGTCACCTGTGTGTTCTGTTTAAAGAACAACATTGTTTGGTTCTGCGTTGCCACAGGGTCTTGTATTCCTTATATTTGGCACACTGGAAAAAGTACAGTTGGTACCTCCCTGAGCAGTAGCTTTAGGAGGGGTTGCTGCACTAATGGGTCAGGTTAGTAAGCCCAACCCGATAGCCCAGCGACACCCTCCTGAAATTAATCTCTGCCACATCACCTGGAGAGGAGCAACCAACTCTCAATTCTATGACTCTTGCTGACCTTCACAGCAGCATAAGCCTCACTTTTGGAGAGAGTTAATGCTAATCAGCTCAGCCAGGGGACTGTCACAAATATTCTGATTGTAATTAACACAATTTCCAAGGGATGCCCGTGTGCCCTTGGGCTGGCCGAGAGGGAAGGGGAGAGCGCTGCTGCCACCCCCACCCCATCAGCCTTTCCGTTGGGCTCGGGAGAACAAGGGAGCTGCAGAAGCAGCTTTCTTGGCAACAACCCAGCACCGCCTTGCCGGAGCTTCACTCCCAAGCCAAGCCTGACCTGGGGTGGGAGAGGAGGAGAAGTGGCGGCAGCATCGCCCTACCAATCAGCCCAATGGGATTGAACAGAAGGGCGTTTGCCTGCCCTGCTGCATCTTGCTCACGTCGCCTTCTGTGCCTGCCCACCTGCGGTGCCAGGGAGACACCCTCCACTGATGTTGCCAGCACTACTGAAAGTGCCGGAGAGAGCGTGCTTGTTTGTTTTTTAAGGGAAACCTGGGGCAGGTGTTATCTGTAGGCTCTGCTATAGTGCTGGTGCCCTAACAGCACTATAGCACCACATGAGCAGCTTGCAAATGAACACTGCTATGCCTCTGCATATGGAGGACATTTATATGGTTATAGGATCTGGGTGCCAGAGAACCCATAATTATTGGATTTAGTAAGTTAGAATTAATCACGATTTGACTAAACTGGGCCAGACATGGAAACCCCTGCATTTAGTTTATGGATGGGAGTCATGGAAGAACAAAGGTGACCCACCATTAACCTTTTAAGTAGGCCATTGACAGAGACTTTTTGGGCTCACAGAAAATGGGAGAGCCCCACCCTGTGGTGGGAGATTGTGGAGAGAAAAGGCCAGAACTTAATTTCAGGAGGGACAGAATGGAAGTGGCTGATGCGGTAAGCAAGCAGGAAAAAAGTGTCACTTTTGCAAGCTGGAGGGGGGGCCCAGAGGAGGAGGCAGGCAGTCTGTTTTATGCTGCAGAGAGGATCAGACACATTTGGGTTTTCTTGGAATCTAAGGCTGCAGCAATGGGAGAAACAGGACACTCTTGGGATCTGAATGCCCTCTCCACCCAGACACAGGTTGTATATACAGTATGTGGTAGTAAATCATATAGGGACATGGGTGCCACAGAGCCTAGGGCTTGCCGATCAGAAGGTTGGTGGTTCGAATCCCCACAACGGGGTGAGCTCCCGTTGTTCGGTCCCAACTCCTGCCAACCTAGCAGTTTGAAAGCTCGTCAAGTGCAAGTAGATAAATAGGTACCGCTCCGGGGGGAAGGTAAACGGTGTTTCCGTGCGCTGCTCTGGTTCGCCAGAAGCGGCTTAGTCATGCTGGCCGCATGACCCAGAAGCTGTCTGCGGACAAACACCGGCTCCCTCGACCTATAGAGTGAGATCAGCGTGCAACCCCAGAGTCGTCCGCGACTGGACCAAATGGTCAGGGGTACCTTTACCTTTTAAGTAAATCATATACCATAAAGGCAACATAGACTCCTCTGTGTTTCATTGTCCCAAAAGAGAACACACCTGGAAAGCACGCCTACAACTCATGGAATCTTGCCCTACTTGTGGAGATTGGGGTGGCGTGTAACAATATGATGAATAAGGATCACGCCCCTCTGCTCAGGGAAGGGCACAGTGGTGGTGTACGTGCTTTGCACGCAGAAGGTCCCAGGTTCAACCCCTGGCGTCTACAGGAAGGTCTCTGTCTGAAACCCTGGAGGGTCACAGACTTTGCTGAGCTAGATGGACCAATGGTCTAGCTTAGTATAAGGCATCTTCCTATGTTCCTAAAGATTCTTGACATTTGCAGAAGCTACAGAGTGTGTATGTAGATGGGAGTTCTTAAAAATGGGAGCGAGAACTGCAAATGTATTCCAACAGGGCAAAACTGGCAAAGGCAACCAGACAGGAGCAGCAACATGTTGCTGCCCTCTCGTGTCAGATTAAGATCAAGCACTGCAGTGGCCATTTCAGAACCAGGTGAGCACACAGGCTTCTCTGTAGTCACTTTCTCCAGTTAGGAAAAGAGACCTGTCTGTGTCTCCTCTTAGTGCTAAAAGTACTGCTAGATTCAGCAGTGCTAGCACTATATTCTGCCCTAGACAATTGCCTAGGGTGGGGAGAAGGAAGCTTTGGCACAGGAGCAGGAACAGGGCCGACCCACCCATAGGGCAAAGTGAGGCAACTGCCTCAAACGACAGGATCTGCAGGGGCAGAAGATCTCAATGTAGATTTTCCCTGGTGCCATTTTGGGGTCCGCCTGAGGTGTCAAAATGTCTTGGGCCAGCCCTGTGCAGGAGGATCTCTTTGCCATCGTGCCTTCTCCACCATGACAGCTATTGTGTACTCCTGTGTTGCAACGTTCTGGAAGAGAGAATGCAATCCTCTCCTTTGCTTCAGCTTTGTCACTGTCACCCCCTGATGCATGGCATTGTGGACAGTTCCGCAGAGACTCAGTAGGAAATGCCCAAACTGTGGAACAGCTCAGGATTAATCTGACGTGCAATTCCAAGCAGCTGCAAGACCCACTGCAGGTATTCGTAGTTCTAAACTTCAGTGGGTAGACAGAGCATGACCAAATCTAACACTCTGTTTGTGTGACCGATACATCTTCCTGACCCGTAAAGAACCATTTCACAATAGTCTGGAGACCAAAGCACCAAGAGTTCCTATTGTTTTACACTGCTTCAATGTCAAAGTGACAGGATGACCTCAGATTGCAAAGCTATAAGCAGCCTCTGGGTGCAGCAGCTGGATCATGAAGTATGTGCTCTATTTATTTATTATTTTCCAGCATAGTGCCCCACCCCCATCTCATAAAAACACAAACAATCTAAAAGCAGCGGCACAGATATGTAAAAGCACAATACGCTTTAAATAAATAAAACAAATTAGAAATGCTGTCCACTGAAGAATAAGGGCTGTATCCAATGCTACTCAAAGTAGGACCCATTGAGAGTCCAGAAAACAAACAAACAAAGTGAGTTTCCCTGGGAATATAATTCAACAACAGTATTAAATATAAATATAATATCTAAATAAGACAATACACAATGGAGGCCAAACATAAACAGGATATTTTTCAATGCTACTGTTTCCTAATTTGTTAGATAGATAATAATATGCTCACAATAAAATTAGAAATATGCATAATATTTTCTGTATTAACCTTCCAGGTATTCAACACATTATTATATGCATGGTTTTCAAATGCAATGCTAGACAGAGCTACAGAGTTCACAGCTTTATTTGGGTCCAGAAAACTGCCTTCAACACGTTGGGTTTGTGTCTCTAATTTGTATTACACTGCTTATTCCTCAAGTATTTCAGAGTTGTAAGATGATGGATCCCTGCCTTCTTTTCCTGTTTGAACACAAAATGAATTTGTGCCATGTGACCAAGGTGTTGTTTCTACATTTTCCTTTTATTAATTAATTTATTGCATCTATTCTCATGAAAATCCCGAAGTGGTTTAACAGAGACATATAGAAAAATCAATTTCGAATCCAATACAGTAACAGATTGGGATAAAACTCTCCACTTAAAAGGCTTGTTGAAAAAGGAAGGTCTTCGATAGGCACTGAAAAGACAATTGAGACAGCACCTGTCTTCAAAGAATAGGTACCACCACACAAACAGCCCAATTGGTATCTTCAGTAAACTGTCTCCTGCAGAGTATAGTGATCTGTAGAGTATATAAGAAGTGAGAGGATCTTTTCTGTGTGATCTTTTAGGTTAGCTCCTTTTAAACCCAGTTATGGTAATTGTTTAGTTATAGGAATTTTGGTATTAGCTCTTTACTTTCAAGTTCTTAGTTTTGTTTTTTGTATTAATCTGGCATCGTATTTTTCTAATTCTTGAAAATTGCTTCCAAAAATAAAATTACTGTTGGATATGTCCATCCTATAAACCACTGAGCCTTTGGGGCTTGCCGATTAGAAGGTTATCTCTTCGAATCTGTGCGACAGGGTGAGCTCCCATTGCTCTGTCCCAGCTCTTGCCAACCTAGCAGTTTGAAAGCATGCCAGTGCAAGTAGCTAAATAGGTACTGCTACGACGGGAAGGTAAACCGTGTTTCTGTGCACTCTGGCTTCCATCATGGTGTCCCATTGCACCAAAAGCAGTTTAGTCATGCTGGCAAAATGACCCCATAGTCGCCTTAACTGTTCAGGGGTCCTTTACCTTTACCTTACTATGCACCTTTATCGGTGCAGCTTCTCCAGAAGAAAGGGGGTTGAGTTCCATTTATATAGGGTAAGTTAACTGCTGTGTTATATCATCAGCAAACAAATTTTATTGAATTATTTCCACCTATAGGAGGTTTTTTATACTTCATGTGATATTGCATGTATTCATATCAATGTTCACATTTAAGATCAGAATCTCATACATTTTTGTTGTGCCCACCTCATAATCTATATTTCATGTAATTTTGATGTTTCTCCTTCAGATGTATTTGTTTCTTCTGTTATTATTTGCTGAAATAATGTCAGCTGCCTATTTGCCTGAATTCTGCTTTCTAAGCCCATGTACCAATTTTTTTCCTCTAAGGGCAGACAATCACATCAGAAGGCAATGATTTCTATGGATGTATCGCTTTCAGAAGCATATGCCCATTTCATTCATGCATTGATTAAACTATGATTTTTCTCCCCTCCACATGTATAATAATTTCCTTAAGAATAATGAAGACTCCCATCAGACTTGCATAGCTTTGCCAGCTGCCCCGTAAGTGGAGTATAGGATTGCTCTACCCATTTAGGGACAATTGGCTTGTATTATGCTCAGCTCCAATTTAGAGGCTTTTCTGGAAGGCTGAACAGACTTCTATAGTTGTTGGCTTGTGATGAAGATAGTTGTGCTAGTTATGAATTTTATGCCTAGCGTTACATTGTTAGTACATAAACCCTACTCCAAGAACTGTGGGTGTCATTGCTGGCACAGTTCCTGATTGGTGGGCTACGGCAGTGCTTCCAAAGGCACAGAGCAGGGTGTTTGTCCCCTTTTCACAGCATATTTTTATTTTCCGACTGTTTCCCCCCGCCCTTCCCAGGCTGAGCACTTACTGAATTCAGCATCCGTTCAGTGGCGTATCTCCAGCCCCAGTATAATGTCAATATTGGATTGCTTTTATCCTTGATCTGTTTTCTTATCGCCTTGTTTTATATAGGATTGTTTTATGTTGTATTTCATTTTTCTGTTGTGTTTTATATTGTATTTCAACCACTTTGAATACCACTGTGTAGAAAGATAGCATAAAAAATAAATAATGCAACATTTTCCAAGAAGGATTCATGTTTTCTAGCTAGCACCTGTAAAACATTGTCCCATTACTGCTTTTGGGGGAGATTAGGTTTCTAGAAGTGAAATAACTGGGACCGGGATGGGAGTCCTGTGCCACCCCAGATGTTGTTTGACTCCAATTCCCATAAGCCTCAGCCAAGAGTCAATGATGATGGGGGTTGTTGTCCAACAACATCTGGAGGAGAACAGGCTCCCCATCCCTTATCTTGTGGGTTCCAAGAGATACTGTATTGGCTGTAGCTGCACACACATGCAGAGACAGATACGCAGGTACAAAACGCAGATTCCCATCCGCTCTCACTAAGGTTGTCAGATCTTAAGACTTTGCTGGCAGAGAGCTGGAGCAGATCTTGATGAGGCAGAGATGAAGCACAGTAGCCTCTTGCAGGGGGAAAGAGGCTGACATGCTGACTGTTTATCTGGGTGGACCCTGATAATACATGAGTATTATCCCTTGCTTCTGGACATCAACCTTAAGATCATTCAAATTAATCCTTTCCAACCTAGTGCCTTTCAGATATTCTGTACTACAATTCTCATTGGCCCCAGTCCGTACACTCCTTGAGAGAAGGCTCCTCTTCCCCTCCAGGTCTGTGGAGGCTGCTCTGTTTTTTTTATCACTAGCAACATAGGGACGACCATCTTTTCCCCACCACATAGCTACGTAATCTATTTAGCAGTTCTCATGCTGTTGATTAAAGCTGAAAGAACTGAGATAGTTGTGGTTCCTGCATTGCAGGGGGTTGGACTAGATGACCGTTGATGTCCCTTCCAACCCTACAATCGTAGGATTCTATGCAATTTATGTGGCACAAAATATGAAGTGGACAACACAGATTACATAAAACAACATAAAATTCAACATTTCCTCCACTTTTAAAAATAACTTTTCCAATTATGGCAGGGGAGGCTTGAGTTTTCAGCAAGAGCCCTGAAACTTAACAGAGAACTTTACAGAACATTTAAAACAAATTAAAAACCTCCCACTGGCACTGAATACAAAATCAGCACATCATCAGCGAGAAAGTCCCCCCCCCCGCATGCTACTTTTCTCCTTGCAGGGTGCCACTGCTACTTCCGTCATCTTGAATGTGGAAACTGCGAGGGTCTGGGGCGTGGGGGGTCACCAGCTCCCACGAAGCATATCCTTTTAAATGTGTTTGTGGGAGGGGAGGGGTATTATGTATTATGTTGTTTTTATGTTGTGAGCTGCTCTGAGATCTTTCGGTGAAAGGTGGTATACAAATTTAACAATAACAACAACAACAACAATAATAATTCAACAAGTAAAGCAAACTAGATACGGGGATCCTCGAGTCCGACCCCCTGCCATGGTCGCGAGGGGCAGCAGAGGTGGGTCCGCAGGTGTGGCTCGCCGGGCCAGTAAAGCCAATCCTAAACTGGCCGAACTCGACCCCAGCCGCCCTCCGCCCCTGCTGCGCGACAGCCCCCCCCCCCAACTCCAGGCGCCGCCGACGGCGGGGCTCGAACTTTCCGCCTGGCCTCCGCGCGACGTGACTCCGCTTTCCCTCGCGCTTGCGCCCGACCGCGCCACCACGTCGCCTCTCCGGACTGAGCACCGCGGCGCCAACCCGTCCCCTCCGCCGGCTTCCCGCTCCCTCCGCTTCCCTTTTTTCGGACCCGCCCCCCTCGGCAGGAGGAGGCGCCTCTTTCGCTATAATCACGTGACGGCCGCATCCGGGCCCTTTCGCCTTCTCTCCCTCTTCCCAACATGGCGGCCTCAGGTGAGCGGCGGTCGCGGGGCGCGTGGGCCTCCGGGTCCAGGCAGGCCGGTCGGCCGCGCCGGGCTGGGCCTCCCTCCAGAGCCGGGAGCGGGGCGGCGGGAGCCGGGAGCGGGTCCCCCCGAGAAGGCGGCTCTCGCCCTCCCGCCGCCCCGAGACCCGAGCAGGCGCGCGGCTTCGAACGAGGCGGCCTCGCGCGGCTCCCGCTCCGGCCTCTTGGTGCGGGGGCGGGCGGTAGCGGGGGGCGCGGGCGGCCTCGGAGCTCCGTCAGGGAGGGGGCGGGGGCGGCAGATGGCACCTTCTTGGGCCGCGTCCCAGTGCGCAGGCGCGCGGCAGGCGCGGGCGAGGTGGGGCAGGGCGGACCTGGGCGGCGCCCACGTGGGTGCTGCTTGGCTGACTCGCCGCCGCCGCCCGGGCTGGCGGGGCGGGGCGGGGCGGGGCGGGCGGAGGCTGCGGGGAGCTCGTCGGCCGGCGCTTGCCCGCCCCGCCCCGCCTCCCTCGCCGCCGCCCCCGGCAGCGGGTGGCATTCAGGGGCCCACCTTCCCCACGCACCCGCCGCCTGCCTGCCTGCCTTCTCCCCCACCCCGGGAAGGAATTAGCAAAGCCGAGAGGTCAATCCGGAAGCCCTCCTGGACCCCGAGCTCACAGGATGGCCTGGGCGGGCGGGGGAAGGACTGTCGTCTCACTCCCGGCCCTGCTTTGTAATACGGCGAGGGGGGCTGAGAAAACCAGGCCACCTCGGAGGGCTGCTGGAGCGGTTGCTGAGGCTCCTGTGTGCGTGCAAAGGGCTGCGCTCTCTCCATGAGGGAGAGAAGTTTTCCATGCACGTTCACGGCCCCCGATCTTAGTTGCCTAGTATGGTTGCCTTCTGGCCTCCGACTTTTCTGTTATCTGGCTTCTCTGGAGGCTGTGTTCTTGCTCTGTCCCAAAATGGCCTTCCTATTTACGCCATTGCAGGATACTAGGGAAGTGTCCAGGCTGCTCTTTGTTATATCTCTTATAACACCTGGTGTATTGGGCTGTGTACGTTTTGCCACTTGGTTTCCTAGTTCCCTTCCTTCACACACCACCAGTCTTGAAAAGATTGACTTTGTCTATAGGTGCAGCAGGATGAGGTGGTAGAATGACCTTCATAATGGAAAGGGGATCATATAAAATTCCCCTCTATAAACAGCACCCCCATGAAAATGAGCACAGTGCAAAATCAGGCTGGACTAGAAACACCGACTGATATGCTAGTATCTTCCTTACATGGGGGGAAGATTCAGAAATGGCTTTCCTTGCCTGCAGTCTGGAGCGTTGCAGCCCAGTCTACCATTTGATTCTCCTGCATGTATGCTGTGAGTTGCAGGCTATTTCTCAAATATAAAATTTACCCATCAAATGTCTGGAATGCTGGGTCTGTTGCAGCCTGACTCCTGCTGCTTGCATAGCTTTGTCTTTGCTGGAAGAAACATAGGAAGAGTTGGGTCTACAGGGTACTACTTACCATGCTTTCTGTATGCATTTCTGCTTTAACATAAAATGAGGCTTCTCTTGTTCTTTGCACACTACTTCCCTATTTTGATGGGGACATAGCACATTGCCATTTTTGTAGAAGATGCTTGTGTCTTCCTGTTGGAGAGTTAATTTTATTTCTGTGTGTCTGCCAATAGTCTGCCAAGCTCTAGTGTAACACTTCCAATTTGTGTCTTGGATAATGGAAAATACATCTGCCTAAGATCAACCTCAGGATGAAGTTGATGGGCTTTGGATAGGTTATTTATTTGACTCTGAAAGGCACCTCTTTGTTCCCTCCATTGCCAGGTAACAGGATTGCTGTTTGTGCTTTTCATAAGGTCCAACTCTTCCATCTAAGGGATATGTGGTGACACTGATAGCTGTGTTCCATGGAACTGTGTTCTGCAGGCAAATCTCTCACCTGTACTAAATTCCCTACATCTGCACATTAAAAAAGATTGTTTTCGGTTACATTTAGTATGTCCTTACAAGATGACAATGAAGCTGATTTTTAAATATATAATTTTATTTCTAAATTTTGAAGTTCACAAATTGATACATACTTTTAAAATATTATTGAGAATATTAGATTGTTCTGCCCCCAGACTGGTATTTGAAAAACAGAGTAGCTCTCAGTAATACAGAAACTGGGCATCAGTCATTCCGCAGTATCCTGTCCCAAGAGTTCCCTAGGAGACAACATCCAGAGGGCAACAGGTTCCCCATCCTTGGTGTTTAGGTTCTCATTACATGTTGAGCTTACCTCCCACACTACACTTTTTGCAGCCCAGTTGCTTGGCTTTGGTGGGGGGCATAGAGTATCCCTTGTTTACTTTATTCCAACATTCCACTTTCTTAGCTCCTGGAGTGGTTTCCGCTGCTGAAAATGGAAGCTCGAGGACTGCTCAAGGTGAGGAGGATTTTAGTATTTCATTCTTTTCTTCTGTCCTGCCAAGATAATGTGGCATATTTTTAATCTCTGAATATGGTTCGCATAACAGCACAAGGGATCCCTAAGAATGAGGGAGGAGCACTGCAGCATCTTCCATACAAAACAAAGTGTGAATGTTTCTTGTGTAAGTGTTCTTTGTGTCTGTCTGCTTGGGTGATAAGTTCTTTGTGTCTGTTTAGATGTTGTGGGTTGATCTCTGCCAGGCATGACTTTTTCCCAGTGGTTTAGTATGGTGGCTGACTTCCATATGCCTTTGAAATGCACCAGACTGCACCAAATAGCTGCACTAAAACTACTAAAGTGAAAAATGGGAGGGCACACCTTCTGTATCTTGTTAGCTGGATACTATAGTATTGCAGTTAACCAGACATAATTCCATTAGAATTCTACAGTTTACTTTGAGACATTTGCTGCCAGAAATGAAACACCTCTGTCATAATGGATGGTCTTTGCAGAGATCAGGCATTCTGCTGTTTGACTCCTAATGGTAGGACAAACCATTGCAAATGCTTTGAGAAGCACATCTTAAATACTTGAGGGGGTTTTTTCCTGTGGGCCAGATTCAGCAAACCTGGTGCACTTGTGAAAGCCAGCACTAGTGTAACGAGCTCCCCCCCCCACACCGCTTGCCCCAAATCTGCTGGAGGGTTGGGAGAACTCTCAGAACAGCATGCGATGGGAAAAGAGGGGAGATTGTTCAGCCTGGCAAGCAAAAATGCTTGTATGAGCACGGCATTGAATTCTATTCTCTCCATAAGTCTGAGTCCACTGTAAAACTGATTGGGGGTTTTAGCACCTAGAGGACTTAAAAGGGGTTGGACCACATACACATTTTTTTTAAAAGTCTTAGCTGGAATGATGGCTTTAAATAATTTACCTTCTTGCCAAAGTTTGGAAACTACTGTTTATACAACTGTGAATCTTTTGCATCTTGCGTAGACACAGTGGGCTGTGCAAGAAAACACAGCAGAGCTTTAAACCTGGTTGCATTTGTTTTTCATAGGTCAGTGCAGTGTATATTATTTAATCTAGTAAGTTTGGCAAGCTTCCTTCACTTGCAGTCTTAATTGAAAAGAGAGCTAACCCATTTCCTCTTTTTTTAAAAAAGGTAGGTATTCTTTTGTCATACTGCATTGGCATAGTTCATTTATTCATTAGATTTTTTAAAGTTTATATTTATTGTCAGGCCTTTGTATAAGGGTTGATTATATATCCTTGTGTTAGCCTTTAAACAAGCCTGCAAATTGGGTTAGGCTGAGAGATGGTGACTTGCTCAAAGAATCCTTATGAGCATATATTTTGTGCCTCAGATGATAAACCTGATAAGCAGTTCCATAAAGCTGTGTTATGATAGGACAGGAAGATTGTATTTCAACAGCAGTTTCTCTGTGGCTGCTGCTGCTGCCTCAGCTAAGTTACAGGAATTGTATCTATTCTTGACAGTAGCTTTTAGGTCTTAATTTCTGACCCAGTTCTTTAGAACAAGAGATGCCACGAAAACAGCCTTGCAGGTTTGAACAATATGGGCATAATGGGGTCTTGTTTGGCAAAACGGGGGGCCTGTAATATAGGCAGGGACTGGTGTTGGGTTATGGATACCCTATACCAGCAAGAAGAACTGTTTTCAGCCATGTGGGGGTTATTCAGTATTTTTCTTGATCTTTGACAGGGTTGGTGATGTAAGATCAAGCAACACTGTGTGTATCTTTGCAGTGTGACTTTGCTGTACTGCTTGCTCTCTCTGAGTTGTCAGCCATTTGATGCAAACTGAGCCTGCAGGTTTTGAGTCCAGTTCTTGCTTGTTAGCATTGCATTTGTTGTCACTGAGAAAGTGATACAGATAGCCACTTTTAAGAGTGCCATGCCATGGGGGACAAAAGAAAGTAGAAATGGCTGCATGTGAAGGTATCTAGTTTGTTAAAAATGCAGTTAGTAGGCTGCCTGCTTCTAACCAACTAAATTTTTAAATAATTCCTAAGCTGATTGATAGTTCAGTACTCTGTGTGTGTTTGTCCTTACCAGCCTGAACGTCAACACTCCAAAAGGGCTTACTCGTAATTTTTTGTTAAGGAAACTGGTGGGTTGTTGGTTTTTTTAAATGGCATTTTCATTGCATTCAGTTTTGTAAGTGACTGAGCATCTCAGGCTGCTAATTTTATATTTCCAATAGTTATACCAACAAAAAAATACAACACTAAAAGGTTTGCAGCCTCATCCTCTGTCCTCTGAGTTGCAAAGCAAGGAGTCACCTTAAACCAGAATATGTGCAACATGGATTGTTAACCAATAGTATTAACTGGAACCACACCACAGTTTGAAACATTATGAACTGGGCAAATGTCTTAGTTGTATTTTGGATGTGCAAAAGTCAAAGTGAGCTGCTGATACAGATGGTAGTGACATTTGTCTAGGACAAAGGCTTCATATCTTATGCCCAGTAAACTTTATATGCTTGATCTTTGTAAGAAGGTAATTATTACACTTCAATTTATGTTTTTAAATTATTGTACTGATATCATTAAGCTGCTGCAGGAGCCTCTGGGCATTGCTGGATAGAAATTTGAGTCAATAAAAACGAGCTTCTACTGATGCCCAATGACAGTTTACAGCAGGCATAGGCAAACTCGGCCCTCCAGATGTTTTGGGACTACAACTCCCATCATCCTTGACCACTGGTCCTGTTAGCTAGGGATGATGGGAGTTGTACAGTAGACGCTCGGGTTGCGAACATGATCCGTGCGGGATGCATGTCCACAACCCGCAGTGGCGCATCTGCGCATGCGTGGGTTGCAATTCGGCGCTTCTGCGCACGCGCGACTGCCCAAACCCAGAAGTAACCCATTCCAGTACTTCCGGGTTTCGGCAGTCCGCAATCCGAAAAAACGCAACATGAAGCGTCTGTAACCCCAGGTATGACTATAGTCCGAAAACATCTGGAATGCCGAGTTTACATATGCCTGGTTTACAGGTTGGGCTTTGAGATTATTACTGTGCAGTATGATGAGCAAAGCACAGTGGAAGGTCTTTCCTGCCTTTCACTGAAATAGATCTTGTCTGATCACATTTGGGGAGTGCCCCTAGGGCCCATGCAGCAGTTTTATCTCCTATTTAAACTTGATTTATCTGCAGTGGATATGACAGTGCTTTATGTTAATTAGGGTAGGAGGAGAGTTGTGGGTGTGAAGGTTTTGTGGTTTAAATGTTAAAACGACTGGGAAATAAAGCCAAGAGAAAGGTGTATTGTTAACAAGATTAAGTTGTGGTCCTGTATGTAATTCCTTTTACATTGGCCTTTGGGGTTCCAGTCTCAAAAGAGCCTGGAGAAGATACTCTTATGAAGACCGTGAACGGAAAGGACCACAGTTGTATTTTTGAATATTCCTATCCCAAAGGTGGTGTGGAGGAGCTATATGTTGGAGCCTTTGGACAGCAACGCAGAAAGTCCTGTTTTTATTGCATGCTACAAAGAGGTTTCCTAAGCTGCACAGTTGACAGTACAGTGGTGTTTGTGTAGAAAAGTGACCAAGGCTACATCATGAACTAGGATGGCCTATTTCAAATATTGCCTTTCTATGAGCAAGGGATTAATTTTGACCCTCCCTACCCCACCAGTTTTTGGAAAAATAGGAACATGCTTTACAAGATTGTTGTAAGGATGTGCTGTATTTGAACACTAAATGCATTTGTGTATAAATATTGTGTATTAAATTGGAGTCCAGTTTTAGTATATAGGCGGTACAAATCTGTCATACTGGACACGGATAATCTCCTTGTCCAGTACTTACTGGAAGGGTTAGCAACTTTCTAGGCTCTCATGAAGTCTTTCCCAGCCCTGCTGTTTGTGATACTTGATGACTGTGATTAAAACAGGAGCCTCACATATGCACAGAGATGCACGCAGCTTTTCCTCTTTCCAATGGGACCCTTTACAATGAGGTTTCCACTCACAGGCATGTTGATCTCAGTGGAATACCAGTCTCTTCTAGTCACTGGGAAATGGAGAGTCTGTTTGGGAAGCTCAAAAAACATATTTCTCCAAAGCACAAAAATGATGAGACTGTGATTCCCTCACTGTAAGTAGGCAAAGCAGCCTATGTTTGAAGGGTACTTTTCATATATTCTGACAACCTTGCCATGAAGTCACAATGTGATGACATAATTGAAATTATCACAATGTGGAGGCAGATAAACATGACCCTGTAACTTTACTGTAGGATTTGCACTCTTAATAAGAGAGGGGAGGGAGCAAATATTTTAAAACCATGCCGTTTATCTTTGGTCAAGTATTGGCCAATTACTATGCAGGTTGCAGAAGAAAGTAAGTAAATTAAATGGGTGTCCGTAGCTCAAAAGCATTAGGTGTTTCCAGTCCATAGCACTGGGTCCATTTCCCATACCCGTGCCCTTCACACAGGGAGTAGGATTCTCTGTTTGCTTGTGGTTTAGGAGACAGGATCCAGCCCTAGTCGAATCTGTAGTCTTCTTGAAACAGCATTGAATGTGGTATATAATGAATCACCCTATCAGCAGTGAATCATAATGCTTCAATGTTGCTTCTTCACCAATTACTGTTGGTAATTGCAGTGGAAATATCCAGCTTGTTGGTCATCACGGCTGCAGCTTTAACGTAACCATAAATGCAGAGTTGAAGCTGCTTGTTTTCGTTCTCCATAATTCTTTCCAAGATAGACTGTTCCTGACGGGGGAGTTCATGAGTGCTATATACACACACACTTGTTTTACTCCAGGACAAAGGTTTAAGGAATGCAGAGCAGTCAGTGATAAGTTGCCAAGATGTGAGTAGTAAGTGGCTGTTCAGAACATCACTTGGCATTAGTATGAGTGAGGATAGACATCATCATAAGTCATTGAAATTCATATGACAGGTTATGTCCTACCAATTTTTTTTCCTTCAAATTATGCAGTATTATTTTGTTTTTATGGCTGATAAGTTTTAACAATATGTTCATTATTGTAAGCCACCCAGAGAACTTTGTTTTTGGACAGTATATAAATGTAAGTAAATGAAAGGACAGCGAAAATGGATGAATCAAGAGTTGTGCAAAATTTGCTTACATTGGTGCAATAGTAGCTGATAAAATAGAGCTGCTGTGTAAATATTAGGAGAGTTGTTTCAGTCTTCTGTTATTCAACCCCTCTCTCTCCTGCTAGCAGCCTGGGAATGTTATTGGGGTATGGTCCGATACAGCCTGCTGGAGCTTCTCAATTCATTCTTGCTGGGACTGTTAAAGGTCTCTCCCCCTCCCCCAAGAGCTCCATATAGAACTGCCTGTATATAGACAATAATAGTAAAATTTAAAAGGCCTAAAGTTAGATGATCCACAAAACACAAGTGCAGTCTCTGGATAAGTGCTTTTGCTGGTGGGTCAGCTCCATGTAATAAACAAAATGTTGGGCTTGTTTATTAGAGACCCGAGTTCAAAACTTGACTCCTCTCAGTAAATATTGTGGCTGTTGCACACATCATGTTTTTTGGTATATAACTGTGGTGTGAATGTTACGGATAGCTGATTAAAACACTGCAGTTTATAAGTGGGACATTGCCCTCTAGTTTTCCTGCAGTGGAGGAGAGGTAGGAAGATGTGAGCAGAGATCATGTGAGTGGGCCACGCAGTCTCTCCCCGCTTTACTTCCCACCCAGCTCCATAGCAGATTGCTTCTTTTTCCATACTTCTTTTTGCAAACTGTAGGGGACTTGCCAACCTGGTCTATCCTTAATCTACCCTTATTCTGAATAGAGTCCCTGCCCTTCTCTAGTGCTGGGAGACAAATAGAAGCAGTGTACAAGGTCAGAGAGAACGTATGGCAGAGCCTTGTCTCCACCATCACCACCTACCTAGGAAAGGCAGGTAGGGGCTTGCTGTTCCAGTAGTACTAAGCTCCAGGTGTACTTGGAGCATAAGATCACAGGCAAGAATCCCCCCTTTGGGGTGGGTAGGAAAGGCTTCTGGCAAGCAAAGGTTGTTGCATGGTCACCAAGGCCAGCTAAAGCTTGCAAATCCTTGCTTATAAAGAATTAAACTGACTTTGCCCACCGTTCCTCCCTCTCCCCCAATTTTAGCTCCTTACTCTTTCCCCCTCTCAGTATGTTTTATCCTCCAGCCAAGGACAGCATAATCCTACTACGGCCCAGTTAGTCACCTGTTCTAAGGGGGAGTTTGTGCTTCTAAGGAACAGAAAGTGCATTACTCTTCCGAGAAGTAGGAAACATTGTGTGCCCCTTTTACATTGGAAAGGGTGTTCCCTAAAGACATTTCTGTGGCCTCAATAGTATCAGTTATTCCAGATCCTCCTTTCTTCTAGAGGCTGTTCCTCTGCTTACAAGTGTGCTTTCTAGCAGCACTGTATGGGCCAACAACTTTGGTATGTAATATTTAACAGCATTTCAGATAGGATAATCAAGCTCAAAAACAAGACTTTCTTCCCTAATAATAATAATAATAATAATAATAATTTTAAAAAGCATTTAGGGTAGCATTCTTCTCTGTTTCAAATTCTGACAGCTCATAGCAAATACCCTCCCATTCTGTCTGTCTGACACATAAGATAAAGGGCAGACTTCCAAGAATAAAGAATCGTGTGCTTCTAGGATAGAAGGTTATCTGCTCTGTGTGTAGGCTGTTTTCTACCATTGTTAGGAAGCGCTGGTTCCTTTGCCAGGGCTTTAAGGTTTCCACCTAAGATCTAGAAATAGGTTGAATTTTTGCGTTCCTTTTTTGACATGGTAAAAGCCCAAAGGCATTCTGTAGAATTTTAGTTTTTATTAGTCTTCATGACATTTCAAAACTGGGATTTTCTGTGGAGCACATTTGACACAAATAGTGATCCTGTGATAGATGTTGACTCATGGTGATTTTTCCACATATAAAAATTGGTGTGGCCATCCAATCTGAGAAATGAGATTTTTATTCATCTATGAAAGTACATGATAAAACTCTTGTGTTACACTTCCTTACCTTTAACAGGAAGGGTTTGCTTAATGCTACATTTAAGGTCCATTTAAAACACGGAAGGTTGGATAGCAAGCGTCTAAGGGTTCCTACTGTTTTTTAAACCCTCAGCTGGCATCTTTGAATGTTAATTCCAGCATTCTGTGTATTGAGTAGACGACTTTTGCTAGATTCCCTTGCAAGCAAAACCACAATATAATTTTTGCTGTGCCATCAAAATATATAACAATTAAGGTGAACAAAGTGGCAGTTGTGTTCTTTGTGTTTAGGATTTTAACATTTGGTGTTGACTGTTTTTCTATTATAAGTTATGCAGCATTCTTTATCATTGGGGATCCCCAGTAACTAGGGCGGTTCTCTTGAGTTTTACTGGAGGCAGAAACTCCCCCAGTGTGGAATAAGAGACCTCCCACAAGTTAAGTACAATTGACAGAGAACTATGAAGAGGAGTCTTATATAGAGCTCTGAGTATTATCACTGGCCAACAGTTCTCTTCTCTGGTTTGTGGATTCGTGGAGGCTTGTTGGGTATACAGAGTTCTCCCTGATGTTTACCTCATTTGTAAAGCCATTGTGTGACTTGGCTTAAGCTGAGTAGGAAGTGAGCCTCTGGCTCAGCAGGTCATCTGGACCCAAGATGACTTCTCTCTGTCCTGATCCCATTTCTGGGCCATGCTGCTAGCTTCTTTCCTTTATTAAATTTTGCTCCTCTGAACCCCAAAAAGGAAGCAGTGGTGTCCTGCCTATGAAATTCTCTCATGATGAAATGCCTCTCTGCAAACACTTTCCTTTTTTACAATGCAGAATACCAATATTTTCTTGGCTTACCAAGAACTCATTACAAACTGCTGTCTATGGATGGGATAACTTAGAACACTGTCACAACAGGAAAATGATGGGGAATGAAGCTGTACAACACTTTATTTTCTACTGATTTTGAAATTGAATCTGTTTGAATTCAAGTGTATGTTTTGGTTGTGCTGAAATGTGTGATTGGGTGTTGCTGTGGAAAAGTGGGTTTGTAACACAATGTCTTCCTGTCTTAATGGCAGTTCCTACTGTCTTTTGAGATTGGTTGGTTTGGTTGCTTGTGTTCAAATCAGTAGTAGACTGATCGGCATTGTGTATGCAAATGAACAGTAAAGGACAATAGCAGTTTCCAACGTTTTGAAGCGGCTTTTTATCACTTTTTCTATTTCTTACAGCTAAGAAGAAGAACAAGAAGGGGAAGACCCTGACTCTGACAGACTTTCTAGCAGAGGATGGCGGTGGTGCTCCCACCTTTGTTCCAAAACCAGTTAGCTGGGCAGATGAGACAGACGATCTGGAAGGAGATGGTAAGATAAAAAATAATAATGGTGTTTGGTTGGGGGGGGGGGTTGCTTTGCTTCTGCTGAACAGTTTCTAGGTGTCAGTGAGAAAACATCCTGGAGTTTCTTCTAATCTTGACTTTTCAGCTATTATCTCTTTCCTCCAAACTGGTGTCATACATTTGTTGTTGGACTGCAGTCAGTCCCAGTCAGCATTGTTAATAGTCAAGGATGATGGTGGGTTGCAGTCCTATATCTGAAGGGCACCATATTGGGGAAGGCCAATACTAGCAGTTTCTTGTTCTCTGCTGCATTTTTATAATGAATTTTGGGTAAGTAGTTATTTTTTTTTCTATTAGAGAAAACAAAATAAGTGTCAACTAGGACAGCTATGGAAATCTCCAGCCATGGTAGGAAGCCAAAATTTATGTCCAAGGGGTGGTGTCTTATCTCTGCTGTCATGCTTAGCTTTGGGGGTGCTTGGAGCACTTAATGAAGCTAATACAATTTCAGAGCTAAGGTACCATATTCCTCCCCAGTACTAAGTCCTTCTGAAGCTATCACAAGCCCCTCCCCATTTCTAATTTGGTGGGCTTTTGGTGTGTATGCAATGACATTAAGCAGTGTATCTTCCTAAGAAATACAGCCCATGGAAACTTTATGAGCATGCAGGACTGTCACTTGGCTTCAGTCACATAGAGAGTGGCATTCAGGGTGGGCCCTGTATTATGTAGCCTGAGGTTGCAAAAGACTGAAGTGTTGTTGCAGCATCTTTCCCTGCACATGGAGGCACTGGTTCATTTAGAATACCTCTTCGTGATCACCTCTCCAAGGTGTTGGAGAGTCATCACAGCCCTCAGCTACACACCTTGAAGTGAACATTTGTCAGCAGTCATTGCAAGTGCTACTAATATGGAGTTGTTCTTTAGGACAGTTGGCTGCTTTTTTGCCCTTGTAGCAACAACCATTTCCCCTACATTCTCTTTGAGTGGATGGTTTGGAACCAATTCCTTGTGTTTCTGTGAGTTAGAATGTGGGAAATTGCTTATGAAGTGGCATGGCATTTTTATTAGGCTGTTGTTTGCTTGCAAAAAGAATCCCATTTGGGGTGGTTTGTGGAGGCGGTGCTCTTGTCTAATAGTGACCAGTTCCTTTTAGTCTCCAATACTTTCCTCGCTGCCCACAAGTCAAATGGAGGCTGAACATTCTTTGCTGTTCATTGTAAATGCTCTGTGTGTTTGCTAATGTGTAACGCTTTTCCCTCCTAGTTTCTACCACCTGGCATAGCAACGATGATGATGTGTACCGAGCCCCTCCAATTGACCGTTCCATCCTGCCTACTGCACCTCGGGCAGCTCGGGAGCCCAATATTGACAGAAGCCGTCTCCCAAAGTCACCCCCCTACACTGCCTTTCTGGGAAACCTGCCCTATGATGTATCAGAAGAGTCCATCAAGGACTTCTTCAGAGGGCTTAATGTGAGTATTTCACAGGTAGCTTTAAGGTTCATGGTCTGGTAGCGCCACGTGGAATCCAGCAGAAAGCATTCAATAAGAATCCAGGTATTTTTTGTGTCACATTGAGAGGATAGCAGCATTATCTTAAGCTGTGTGAAAATGGTAATATCAAGAGAAATTCCGCACATGCCTTGTCTTTAAAGATGATGTTTCTGGTATGAAACTCCACAGGAGTTTCCCTAGCAGCTGGTAGAAATCCCAGGCCTCTTTGATGAAGTGAAGAACGCTTTATAAAGTGAGAAGAATGATCTGGATTTTTATATTGTTTCTAGCTTCTCAATACCTTACAGTTTGAAAGGCAACAACGGACCCAACTCTACTATTTTCAAATAGCTTTATGCTACATAAACCTCTCAATTGTAAAGAGTAGTTTTCTGCTTCTGGTTAGCCCAAAGCAGGCAGCCACCCCTTAAAATAGTGGTGTTTCATGCAGTTTGCTGATTGGGTGATTGGTCAGGGGTCTTGTGTCCAAACATCTGGCAGGTACAGGCATAGATCAGAAATATAGTGGATTCGGTTCCAGGCCACCGCAATAAAGCAAGTCACACAATTTTTGGGATATCCCAGTGCATATCAAAGTTACGTTTATACTGTAGTCTATTAAGCCACCCCACCCCAGTTGCAGAGGCAGGAGGAGAAAAATCTGTCTCCAGCCTGCTCCACTCCCATGGCTAGAAGAGGAGGGGTGGTGGCGCCAGCACTGGGGGGTTTCCTTCCCCTGGAAGTGGCCAGGCTTCCTGCAGCTGCACCCACATTCTTGTAAGGAGCAATATCTGCAAAGTGCAATAAAGCAAAAGGCATGCCTGTCTAAACCACAGAGCCTAGGGCTTGCTGATCAGAAGGTAAGCGGTTTGAATCCCTGTGACGGGGTGAGCTCCCATTGTTCGGTCCCAGCTCCCGCCCACCTAGCAGTTTGAAAGCACATCAAAGTGCAAGTAGATAAATTAGAATTAGACTGGAAGGAGGCAATGCCAGAACAGTAAATTGTGAAGAGATGCAACAGGCAGCTCTTGTGAGATGTCCTCTCAGGACTCATGTGAACTGCTATTTCACACAGCACATGAGGGTTTCTCGTGTCACATGGTTTGGGAATTGTACCTCTAGTGATTTAGCATGCTGGAAGGACAGATCACAATTCCCAGCAGACAAGCCTCTTGTTTTGAAATGCTGTACATAGCTTGGGGCTTAAAGAGAAACAAGACGGGTGTGATGAAACTGCATTTGATGTTGGAAGGAACTTCCTGTACAATAAAGGAAAGCATCATTGATCTTCTTTGTTGTTACACCTATCTTGAGTCAAGCTCCAAGAAAGATCTAACTGTCCTGTGGTGGTCAAAAACTGAAGAAGATTCTTCCCTGCTAGCCATTAGTCTAAATATATATTTGGTAGCTTTGATAGCAACGAATGTGCAGTGTAAATAGAAATGTATTCGCTTCAAGTGATCTGCTGGTTGGTTCCAATCTACCTTCTGAGTACTCCTGACCTAGAATAAAGTTAGCATCTTTTTAAGCAGTCTTTATTGAAATCAGGATGGTTAAGACTGCAGTCCTGTATACACTTCGCTGGGGTTAAGGCCCATTTAACTTGATGGGAGGAGCCTGAGTAGGCATGCAGAATAGTGTGCTGTAAAAGGTGTGTTCCTCCAGTGTTTCAATGTCATAAGGGAAGCAGAAAGAATAATTGGTGTTAGTGATGCGTGTGTAGAATCAAAGAGTTAGAATAATCGTTCTGTTGGTGTGAAACACCAGAGTATATTATGTGGTCTGATTTAAGGAGTGAAAATCGTATCACCTGCGTCCACTCCTGCCTTTCTCTTTTCAAGTGCCCTTATTGCTATTACTAATTTTTTTAAGGTTTTTTTCTAACTGCTTTGAGGGGGTTTTCTTACTATCAGCAGTATATAAGTTTTATGAAATAACATTATTTGTTTGTGTTTTTCTGTATTTACAAACACCATATAGTGGAAAGGTGGGATACACATTTAACAAACAAATGAATAAAGCCCAAGGACATTTATCCTGGATTTCAGTTGCTTGCGAGTTATGCAAGTTTGTATTTTATAAAGGCCACCCTAAGGGTGAAGGGTGGCATGAAAATGTATTTAAATAAGTGCAGTGGGTGGAGCACGGCACCTGGAGACGACCACTGCGTCTTCTTTGTAGGAAGATGGTTACTTAAAATATTTCCCCCTCTCACTCAACTGCAGATAAGTGCTGTTCGTTTACCACGGGAGCCTAGTAATCCAGAGAGGTTGAAAGGATTTGGGTACGCTGAGTTTGAAGACCTGGACTCCATGCTCCGTGCTTTGAGCCTCAATGAAGAGGTGAGTTGAAATCTGCCAAGAAATGTAGTCATATCCCTTGGCTTGATGTAGCCCAGCCTCTGGGGCGGAGAGAAAATTCAAAGGAGCAAAACTCTTGAAAACCTGATTGAAGTAATGATGCATAGAAAGTGCTTCACTTTGCAGGTATATCTATGTCTGGATTAGAGAGGAAAGAATCATTGAAAGAGATAACCTGTAACAGGATCTGGTGCATTTCTGTCAGCTGATGTGAAACTCTCAGGGCACAAAAGGCAGTATGTTTCTAAAAATAACCAGAGGATGAAGGCAGATTATGCAGGCTGCCCAACCATGTTGCTGCTTGCAAACCTATCCACATATGATTAAGTACGCTTCCAGTGTGTTTCCAAGCACAGTTCAAAGTGTTGGTGCTGACCTTTAAAGCCCTAAATGGACTCAGTTCAGTATACCTGAAGGAGCGTCTCCACCTGCGTTGCTCAGCCCAGACACTGAGGTCCCCATCCGAGAGTCTTCTGCTGTTGTTCAATCATTAAATGCAATAATTTGAGCTAAAAGACTGTTTTCAGGGGATTAACCCTTTGCAGGAGTTGGCAAGGATCTGGATTGCCAGAGTAAGGTTTCTTAAGGCTCTACAGTTGCACTCCCTAGAAATTTTATTTTCCTAATAATGTTTGCAGACTGTAAGTTTAAGGGCAGGAAACCTGTTCATCTTAGGCAAATCCCAGTTACTCAGGATTTCTGCAGGATGCACAGAGGATTCCAACGTGTTTATGGAATAATGCATGCTTTATTTGGAAGCAGTGCTGGAAATAAAGTATCTTAATAGGGAGGTACCTTAGGGACACGGCTGGCCCTGTGGTCTAAACCACTGAGCCCCTTGGGCTTGCCGATTGAAAGGTTGGGGGTTTGAATTCGCACAACAGTGGTGAGATCCTGTTGCTCTGTCCCAGCTTCTGCCAACCTAGCAGATCAAAAACATACCAGTGCAAGTAGATAAATAGGCACCGCTGTGGCGGGAAGGGTAAACGGCATTTCCATGTGCCCTGGCTTCCATCATGGTGTTCTGTTGTGCCAGAAGCTGTTTTAGTCATGCTGGCCACATGATCCAGAAAGCTGTCTGTGGACAAATGCTGGCTCCCTTGGCCTGAAGCGAGATGAGTGCCACAACCCCATAGCCTTTGACTGGACTCTACCATCCATGGGTCCTTTACCTTACCTTACTCTACCTCATGTATTATTATATATTTATTTTTGTAAAAATTGACTGCTTCAGAAGATGCATGGTGTACATCTGAAATGGACTGCCTTTTATTATCTCCAATTGGCTTCTGAGAAGTTGGATGCAGCCACATTGATTCTGAACACATTGATATCCACCAGTTCAAGTTAGGCACTTTTAGAATAGTAACCTTTCATATTTTTAGAAGCTGGGACAGTGCCTGTTAACCTCAGTCTCCAACAGTGGGCTCAGTAATTCCCCCCCCCCTTCTATCCTCCTCCTAGTGACATGAAAACAATCTATAGTAAAATGGCAAAGATCACAGTGCAGTGAATGGAAGCAAAATCAGATAAAATTAGCCACGTTTTAGAAGTTGGGGTTTCTCCCCCCCCCCCCCCAATTTTGTATCTTCAGGGCAGTCTGTTGAAGTACTTAAGGACAGCAGTGATCTGTCCTGTTCTGATTGGCGTGTCTCAAGTCTCAAGCAACTTGGGTCAAGAAATTGGACTCAGTTTTCTCAGACAAGCCAGATAAAAAGTGTTAACTATCGTTCAGCAAAAAGCATTTTCAGATGGTTGTTCTCCTGCCTTAGCTATTTTAAGTAGATTATTCTGGCCATCTCAGATACTTGGCAAGTGATCCTGCCTCTGAAGTCTAGACAATACCACCTGAAGGCATCCAAACCATTTTTCTGCCTCAACAATTTTTTTTGCAAAGGACAAAGCTATAATAGGTACAGGAAAGTAAATCTGTAAACTGTTAAGGGTGTTTGTGACAGCTTGGAAGCTTAAAATAAGCAGTTATATTTGTTGCTGCAGATATTGAGGGTGCACTGGGGAGGGAGGAAGAGGAAGTTGCACTGTACAAGCAGAAGTCTGGTACACAAGCAGAAGCACCAGATACACTCTTGGTTGAAGAAGCTTTTGATACCCTGTGTCAACCTATTTGCAAGACTGGAGACTTTTCGTGGGCCATAAACATAATCTTCTCTAGTCATATGAAAGACAGAGTGAAAGATCCGGGCCTTGGTTTGATTGAATTCAACTCCATCAGGCATCTTAAAACTCCATGACCCTTCACATTAGAGAGAACACATGAACAATGTTATTCTTAGGTGCACCCTGTTTCCATGTTGATTCCCAGTGCATTGGCACAAGTGAAGTTCTACAATTGTACATCGGGAACCTGAGTGATAAGAGTCCAGTGGGCATTGGTTTTTTATTTGCTACCCTTTTGTGGAATGCTCTCCCCAGGACGGCATCCCTGCTTCCATCATTACATACCTGGGGATGCCAGGCAAAAACATTTCTTTTCTGCCAGGTCTTTGGCTTTTAGTAATCTGTGGCCTCTTTTAGTGGGTGGGGTGTTTTAATCTTACCTTTTAAAAATATGAATGTCTCAGAAGTTTCTTTTTTATGCTAAGTCACTTTTAGTCAGTTTAATAAATAACAATTCTGCTAGCATCCTTTTTTCCGTGTGTTAAAGTGATAGGTGCATCCATTTATAAAGCAATTCTACATGCGTTGGTCAGATATAACCTTGAACTTGCTGTACATCTTTAAAAAATGGGCTTTAAAATGCTAATGTTACACTGTATGTTCAGTCTCTAGGGAACAGGAGAATACGAGTGGATATTGCTGATCAAGCTCAGGATAAAGGTAAGTGCTGTGGCTTTGTGAAAAGAGGTCATCTTGTACCAGTTAAATTTTATACACAAAGGCTGGAAAATAAAGCTGTGAAACCACCAAGTTTCCCCCACTTAACTAGCAAGTCTTTTCTGTGTACAGATGAAATTGACGAGGAGAGCTAAAGGCCTTATGAGCTTTACCTGCTTTTGACTTGATCTTGTTGGGTTCAACAGTGCAAATTGCAAAAGGTACCTAGTAAATTCAGAATTAGCACTGTGGGTTTCCATTTCTTTAAAAGTGCCTCTCCAGCCCAGTACAGTACAGGAGGTGTGAGCTACACGATTCCACAGAGCGCATTGAACCAGCATCCTGCTCCCTCTTACCTACACACTGTGATCTTGCCAGAGGTCACGTTTATTGCTCCGGCAGAGAAATCATTAGTGTATCTTTTTTTTCTTTAACAAAATTTATATGCCACTTGGTTGTAGTAAAACCTCAAAGTGGTTGACAAAAAAATCTCATTACAATTACCCATAAAAGACAGTTAAAAAACAGGTTTTTTAAACATTTTAAAACTTAAATCAACAATAAACTAAAAACAGATTAAAACACGTGTAACTTCTAGGTGTCTGGAGAGGCTTGCCTAAGCAAAAATGTTTTAAGGAGGTGCTGGAAAGAATACAGCAAAGGCACCTGCCTGATATCAATAAAGGAGTTCCAAAGTGTAGGTGCTTTTACTTTCCTCTGTGCAGATGTCTGAATCCATGAAACTGGATGTGCCATTTAACTGTTGGGTTGCTTTTCCTTTCTTTTGCAGATAGGGATGATCGCTCTTTTGGTAGAGATCGTGACCGCAACCGGGATTCAGAGAGATTTGAAACTGACTGGAGGGCCCGTCCTGCTACGGATAGCTTTGATGACCCCCCTCCCCGCAGGGGCGAGGATAGCTTTGGAGACAGTGAGTTCATCACCAGTTGCCTGCTGTGCTAACCACCATTTTCCTTGCCCTCTTCTAATTTTCCTGCATGCTCCTGAATTGCTGAAGCCCTTCCTTTATATTCTGTTCTTACAAGAGTAGCTTTCCTCCCTGTGCTCCCTACACATGATTCTAGATTGAATACTAGCCAGTTACTACAAAAAGCTAGGGAATTACGCACACTGAGGAAGGGCTGTGGCTCTAGGGCAAAGCCTCTACTTTCCACGCAGAAGGTCCCAGGTTCATTCCCTTGTATCTCTAGGTAGTGCTGGCTGTGTCCCGAGTCGGAAGCCTTGCGAGAGCCACTACCAGTCAGGCAGACAATACTGATCTGGATGGACCAGTGGTTTGACAGTGTAAGCAGCTTCCTGTGTTCTGGGCTTCTGGAGTCGTATCCCGTACCTATGTTCCCATCGATGCCAAATACACAACGGAAGATTTCTAGCAGTTATTTCATTGTACAGTGGTACCTTGCTTCTCAAACTCAATCCGTTCCGGAAGTCCGTTTCAAAACCAAAGTGTTCCAAAACCAAGGCACGCTTTCCCATAGAAAGTAATGCATAACGGATTAATCCGTTCCAGACTTTTAAAAACAACCCCTAAAACAGCAATTTAACATGAATTTTACTATCTTAACGAGACCATTGATCCATAAAATGAAAGCAATAATCAATAAAATAAATAAGACAGTATTGAAGATTATTTTTTTAAAAAAAATTCTTACCTCCACTGATGATAGTCATTGTTTGGATGGGGGGATTTTATCCATTTCTGCAGTCACACAATCAGTCAGTCAGTCAGTAGCTGAACTGGGTTCCACACAGTCACAAAAACAAATTAACCAAAAAAGCCTCAGAAACAAAAACTCAAAATAAATAGCAAAAACAAAAGCGTCAAACTTAATCCATTCTGGAAGTCCGTTTGACTTCCGAAATGTTTGAAAACCAAGGCGCAGCTTCTGATTGGTGCAGGCGCCCCGGAAACAATAGCCGCCAGCCGCATCAGACATTTGGTTTCCGAAAAATGTTTGAAAACTGGAACACCAAAGAAAACCGGCTGCGCTGAAAACAATGGAAGGACAGGGGGCAGGGCAGCCAGAGACGAGCTCAGATGCTGAAATTATGGAATTTTCGTACCAATGGAAAAGAGAATTTATGGAAAGTATGGCTAAGATATCAGAGACCATCAGTACCAGATTGGATCACTTTAAGAACACGGCGAAGAACCGGAAACAAGAAGAATAGATGCAGGGAAGACCCACTGGCAACGACAGGAGGGAACATTTGTAAGCCAGGGGGGGGGGGGGGGAGCTAACTGAAAATCCAGAAGGAAAGACAGGGGAATATGAAGGGCAGCATACACAGAAAATATTTGAGGAAGTACTGTATTGGTAAAAACACCAGTGTTAAGACAGGAGGAGCTGAAACTGGAAATGGCCTTTATTGGTAGCAGCTTCTTGAGGAGCTTTAAATATGAGCACAGACAGGAATTAGAGCAATTTGGGTGAAATCACAACTGTGGAGACAGAGAAATTTGGAAGGAAGGAGGGCTGAAATGGGGAATTGTCCTAATGGGAAGCCTCTTTCGGAGGAGATTTAAATATGCCAAAGTAAGAAAAAAAAGAATGGGTAACAGTCTGGAAAATGGTTTTTATTTAGGGGTCAGCAGTTGTAAATAAATTGGGACATCAGCAGGCATGGATTAAGTCAGGCATAGGCAAACTCCGGCCCTCCAGATGTTAGGGACTACAATTCCCATCATCCCTGACCACTGGTCCTGTTAGCTAGGGATGATGGGAATTGTAGTCTCAAACATCTGGAGGGCCGGAGTTTGCCTGTGCCTTGATTAAATGCTTGCAAAAAGCAACAGTTAGGATAATTTTAAAAGGGGAAATAGCATGAAAGCATAGGTGTGTAATGTATAAAGTGGTTTTAATGTTTAAAGTATCTGTGCTGTATACCACAAGTTTAATTGTTTAGTAGTTGGAAATTTGGGTAAAGGAATCTGGAATGTAACATGATTTGGTTTATTTGAAGACCCAGAAGAGGGGGTGGAGGAAAGTCTGGGGATTTGGGGGGCGGGGTAAAAATGTGTTCTTTTAAATTATTTTTAAATGTTAATGAGAAATATGTGGGGTAATCTGGTATTGATACAATGTGGCATATATTCGATTTTTTTAAAATTGAAAACTAATAAAAATTACTATTATTATTATTATTATTATTTATTATTAAAAAGAAAACCGGAACATTTACTTCGGGCTTTTTGGCGTTTGGAACCAAGGTACCACTGTACACGTCTCGTGTCAGTCAACCAAGCTGGCTTGGTACTCAAAATGCAGTCATTTGTTGCTCCAAATGTTGCATGATTTCTGTTCATGTTTTTACAGCATAACAGAGACCGTAAAATGGAGTCCTAGCTGCACAAGTGCATTGAAGGCTAATCCCTGTTTTCCTTGTTCTCTTTCAGACTGAAATGCGGAAGACCCATTTCAGTCTGAAATGGGGATGAACTCAGCAGGTTCATATCATGAGCTGAAGACATGGAGGCATGTCAGACATTTATGCTTCATGACTGTAAAGCATGCATTCTACAGGCTACTTTTTTGAGAAAGGAATGCTTTAATCAGAAGACAAATACATCTGAAATCTTCTTGTCTAACAGTCTGGAGAATTAGAGTATGACAGCTGTGAAATTGCAATCAGTGTTTTCACTGCTATTTTTTTGAAGCAAAAAACTTGAGTTATAAGTAATTGCGTGATTGCCTAACCTCATGTATACCTAGGAGGTAGCTTTATAAACAGTTCGCTTATAGTTCAGAAGATACATAGTTCATGTATGTTGAGATTCCTGCATTTCAGGGGGTTAGACTAGAGGACCCTTGGGTTCCTTTCCAGCTCTACAGTTCTATGATTTCCTGTGAATTGCCCGCCTCCTTTTGAGAAAAGCACATTTCCTCTACTGTTCTCTTGCTTAGAACAAAGACTTTTTATGATGGTGGTGATAATTTTCTAGGGGTACTTCAATACCTGCTTTTTCATCACATTTTCTACTGTGAACCTTCTGGGTGCAGTGGAATATATATGTAAATACTTCTTTACAGTACAAGGCAATAAAATGTTTCAATAATAAATAGTTCTGTGACCAAGCACCATGGTAGTCACGTGCTGGAAGATGCCTAAAGCCTGCCCCCTGAATCTCCCCCAGCTGTGTCAAACGTTTTCTGAAAGTCATTGCTCTGTGTCTATCTTGTACATGCTATAGCCTTTTCTTCCTGCTTTAGGGTATCGAGACCGTGATCGTTACGATTCGGATCGGTACCGTGATGGTCCCCGAAGAGAGATGGATCGGTTTGGGGGCAGAGATCGTTACGATGACCGTAGAGACTACGATAGAGGAGGTACTGTGGGTCACAGACTTCATTGTGGGTCTGGGGTTTGAGATGCTTACAGGAGGCATCACTTAATATAAACATTTGCTTACATTGCAGCATTGGCTAGGTAATACAGCTCCCACATTCCCCTGCTATCGATGCAACATTTTAGGCACACAATCCATTTTGTGTATAGTCATTGTGGTCTGAATGGCTTTTCTCTCTTGAAGGTGAAAATACTTGGAAGTTGGGATATGGAATATAGAGCACTGCTGCAGTTTCTTTTCCCAAAGGCTTAAAAAGATTTTGCTTTTGTGTTTCAAGATTCAGTGATTGCTCTAGTGGAAAGACATTTTGAGTGTCCTCCCTGCTTGGTCTACAAATACCTCTTGCATCTTGCACACACCTTGATACCTGCAGCACTCTTATTATTTGTGCAGTTTTTAACTATTATATTGGTTGTGGAGATGTAGTAAATGAGACGAAGTTACAGTTTTGGGTTCCTTTCCAACCAGTCATTCTTCTCTGGTTTCTTTTGCTGCTGTGGTCTGTTTTCCTTCCAGGCTGAGTGATCTTGTAATTAGGAGTGGTGCTTTTGTACAATTGTGCATAACTTGAGTCCCTACTAGTTAGCATTTTCCAGCTGTGTTAATTAAGCATTTTTTGGCCATGTTTTGAACTGAAGTGGGAGGTATTTTCTTCAGATGCCAAATGGGACTTCAGAGCGTGCCCTTGAAACTGTACATGAAATCTTCCTGGAACTGGCTTGATCTAACATTGTGTGCCATGTTTGGATACTGCTTGATCAGGGACTGTGTGCCTCTGTATATGTAACCTCAGGGAAACATTTTAATAGCTGCACATGTTGGAGGGGTATAGGGGTGTGTGAATGTACATACAGACTCTGAGGTCTGCTCTCTTTTCTGACTCACCTGTGAGCACTCTGGGGTGCTGTCCTCAGAAATAATGGTCTTCATGTTGTGCAAGATTAAACCACTGAACTTCCTTTTCCTGTAGGTTTCGACTCTAGGTCAGGCAGTGGTAGAAGAGCCTTTGGCAGCGGATACCGTCGGGACGATGATTATAGGGGTGGTGGTGACCGCTATGAGGACCGTTACGAGAGGCGAGATGATCGAATGGATAGGTGGAGCAGCTCGCGGGATGACTATAGCAGGGATGACAGCCGGCGGGATGATAGAGGTATGCTCGGTGTTTGCTCAGAAGCAAAGAAATGAGGAACTGTTGGCTTTGCTGTCATTGTTGGTTGTGTATTGCTGCAGATTATTCTGTTCTCCCTTATTCCTTGTGGTATTCTGAATTTGACCCTAGGCCATGGCGATGTTTGCCTCTTGCCCTACCCAGTGTATATGGTATGTTGCCAGATCCATCAGACACGGTTAAGAAAGATTTATTATGTAGCCTAGCCATTTCTGAGAACTGGGTGACCCACCTTTTGTAGGAGGTTTGTCTAATGATTCCTTGTCCCCTGTTGGGCATGGGTCCTTTGTTGACTCTTCCTTGTTTCCAAGATCTCCTTATGTGGCCTAAATGCCACATACCATTCATTCAGCCTTTAATCCCCACCTCCTTATCTAAATAAGACAACCATATGAATTTTTCACAATTCTCCTGCTTCTTGGCTTTTGCCTAATCCTGAATCCAGTGGCTTTGCTTTTTTCATTTTGCTTTTTCTGAACTGTTTTGCTTTTTTCAACCTCCTGTTCTTTTTCTCTTAGGTCCCACTCAGAGGCCTAAACTGAACCTGAAGCCTCGGAGCGCTCCCAAGGAGGAAGATACATCTGTAGCTCCTGCTACCCAGTCTAGCCGTGCAGCCTCCATCTTTGGGGGGGCCAAGCCTGTGGACACAGCTGCAAGAGAGCGTGAAGTAGAAGAGAGGCTACAGAAGGAGCAAGAGAAGCTGCAGCGCCAGCTGGAAGATGATAAACCCAGGCTAGAGCGACGGCCCCGGGAGCGGTAAGTGACAGAAAAGGAGCATGAGCTGCGCACAAGCCAGTAGAGAAACTGCTTGAGTTAATCTGCAAAACACCACTTGGTGTGTCACAGGCTCAAGCTGGTGATCTCTGCAAAAGGTGCCATAGATGTGCCTGCAGCTCCTCTGATGCTGCAGAACACCCCTAGAGTTGCTCATGCTGAAGATGGTGAGCGGTGACATTCCATTAGCTGCCTTGGTAGGTAGGTTCATGGCATTACAGAGCCCAGAGAATGAATGCTAGGCTAGCACCAGGCCTGCCCAAGCTGCTGTATCCCAAACTGTGTCACAGCACAAGCAGCCACACTAGCCTAATGACAGGTGGCTGCAAGGCCAAATCACATTACATATAATCCCCTAGCAAAAAAAAGTCTTGTTTTATTTAACACATATAATTTGAGCAGTTAAGAAACATCTCTAACTGCTTCTGAGCTTTGTTTCAAACCTGAACATAGGAATGCATCACATTGAGGGTTGCTTCCTATTCCCACCTTTTCACTTCTGGGGTCCAGGGATTGAAACTGGGCCTCCACATGCAAAGCCTTGCACTCTGTAGTTGTCATAGCTCAGTTGTAAAGTCTTCCCTGTGGACAGTGTGATCCAATTCTCCACTTCTCCAAAGAAGTCCCTTTTCTTCTGCCCAAAAATGAGTTCCTTTAGGAATCTTCCTCTGAAAGGATATCTCTTTGAAATTGTGATGTATTCCATCTCAGAAAACTTGAGGAGGGTATCTTCTTGTGGTCTTTCATCTGGGCATTGATCAACTCTGCATTTGCTTAAGTTCTGCAGTACTGCAGCGTCAGCTGCTCCCTGACCAGTGACTGAATCAGTAAGCTCAACATCAGAAGACTCAAACCCCAGACAAACTTAACAGGCCACCCCACCTGGTCTCCACTAAAGGGCTGATTTGAGCGGTACTATGGATTGAAAGGTGCTAATGGCACAATTGTCTCAGTTTTATTTAACCACCTTGTTTTTATTTATTTTTTGTAGAGTTGTGTATACTTGTTTTTTATCCAGTGCCCCACATTTACAGTTAGTAAGCCTTGCTTCTCTGTATATGTTCTAGACACCCCAGCTGGCGTAGCGAAGATAACCAAGAGCGGTCACGGACAGGGAGTGAGTCTTCACAGACTGGCAGTACAACTCCTTCTGTGGGGACAGGCCCAACAGGAAGAAGTAAGTTGTCTTTGGGGTATCATTCACTTAGCCCAGAGGTGCATCGTCCTATTTCTGGGAAGCCCCATAACTTTCCTGGATTATAGCATGTATTTCAGTTGGGAAGCTTCAGTTGAGTCACATGGCAAGCCTTTGTGTAAAGATTTGAGAATAAGGGGTTTTCTGGGGTTTCTTAGTTCTTCGTAATGGAAGTTGTCCATAACCTACCAACAGATCCACTAAATAGCTGATCAGCAGGGAAGCTAGCAGCTTAAGTAGCTGTCGATCAGTGGTGGTACCATATTGGCCCGAATATAAGCCACCCCCTTCAAATTCCGCAGGCACTCACACCCGTTCCGTTTTACCATATGCCTGTTTCAGCAGTGCTATCATAACAGCCCATTTTTGTAAGGTCGTGAATTTAAGCCGCACTTAAAATTTGGAAAAAAGTGAGGCTTATATTCAGACCAATATGGTATTTACACGTTAGTACTGTACAGTCCTCTCTTTTGGGACAAATGTTTGCCCCTCTGGTTGTTGGTAAGCAGTTGGATTGCATGTGGTTGGTGTTGCTAGTCATGTAAATTGCCTGTTACCAGTAGGTAGAGTTTATACAATAGACTTCCTAACAGAGTCTACAATGACTGGGTGGAAGGGGCTGGCAGGGAGTGGGCTAGCTTGGACATGGCTGCTTGACTGTGTCTCCGGGGGCAGCATCCACTGCCTCCTGCTCTGGCAGGGCCAGTGGGGAAGGAAGGATGCAGGCTTGGGCTCCACTGTGCAACAGCACTTGGAATGCCCTCACAGCTGTGCATACATTCACCCTGCCGGCAGCAGTGTGAGCAGCAGGGGACCATTGGATTTCACAGCTGCCAAGCAATCCCTGCCCACCTCTGCAGTTGGGAGTAACGCTATCATTATCATGCCATTTGGAAGGCAGCACCACACTTTGCACAGAGAGATTTGTTGAAGGCATCTTTTTAGGTTTTGGCTTGTTGGGGTTTTTAAAAAAAAGAACCTTCGATTCTCACTACCCAGATTCCTACTTGGCGGGAATTTTCATTCAACTCTTTGCTAAGGGAAAACACAATGCTTCTATTTTCATGTACAATTGACAAATGCTGGCTTTGGTCTGAGCCTATGGGCCAATTTGACTGGACTGGGCTCTGCTGTAAACTGAGATGTGTTTTAACAATTGTTTGTTTTCCTAGCCAAAACAGCCATCAAACGGTGTTGACAGTGTTGGGGGAGTTGCATGTTAAAAACCTTGAGGCCCAAACTAAACATTTTTTTGTAAGGGTAGCACAGTCGTGGGTGGGTGGGTGGGTGAGAGAGAGAGCTCGATCATAGCAGTGGTACTGGGGGAAGATGATTAACTCATTCCCATGAAACATTTTTCACTATCAGAATCACTTCCCTGCTTGCTTTCTCTCATGTAGGCAAAACAAGGAGGATTTCAGCTGGTGGGAGGGGTGCTGTGTGTGTGTGTGTGTGTGTGTGTGTGTGTGCGCGCGCGCATATAGACTGGACATGGTAACACTGGACTAAACTGCACGATTGTCATGTCTCACGCACACACCTCATGCATGCCCACTTGCACTCACACACGATAGAGCATAAACCTTTAATTGGGCAATAGCACATCCACCCCCAATCAGTTACATTAGAAACCTGGATGTTTCTGTTGCTTTCTATGAGCAATTGATCACTTCTGCCCCAGGAAAGACAAAAAGACTGACATGCAAACCAACCAGGAAGTCTCTTCATCAAACAATGGAATTGTCAGCACAGATCCTTTTCACAGGTTTGTGATTGTATTGTGGATTAAACACACGGCCCAGTTTAGGCTTGTTCTGTGATCTTCTGCTCCGTAAACTCACTGGGTGTTTTTGGTGGTTTGTTTTGGTAAAGCATGCCAACCCAGAATCACTAGGGAATGGTCCAGGAAAAAAGTGCTTTCCTTCATACAGCTGGGGTGTGTGTGCATATCTTCTTAGCCCATGTTGTATTGTATCCTGCACTTCCAGCCTCACGAAGGAGGGAGAGTGAGAAATCATTGGAAAATGAAAGCAGCAGCAAAGAGGATGAAGGTCTGTCTCCCACTTCCAAGACTCCCAGGGAAGAGAAGCTTCCTCTGAAGGTGATGCCAGCGCCACCGCCAAAAGAAAACGCCTGGGTGAAGCGCAGCAGCAACTCTCACCCGGCCCGCTCACAGAGCTCCGACTCAGACCAGCATTCCCCTACAAGGTGAGGGCCTCTGGCAGGGCTGCCCTTTTCAGCCAAGGACTTAATCTGCAGGAGGGATGGAAAGCATGGTATAATAATAATAATTTATTATTTGTACCCCGCCCATCTGGCTGGGTTTCCCCAGCCACTCTGGGCGGCTTCCATAGAAACCAAAAATACAGTAAAATATCACAGATTAAAAACTTCCTGAACAGGGCTGCCTTAAGATGTCTTCTAAATGTCAGGTAGTTATTTATCGCTTTGACATCTGATGGGAGGGCGTTCCACAGGGCGGGCGCCACTACCGAGAAGGCCCTCTGCCTGGTTCCCTGTAGCTTTGCTTCTCGCAATGAGGGAACCACCAGAAGGCCCTCGGCGCTGGACCTCAGCGTCCAGGCAGAACGATAGGGGTGGAGACGCTCCTTCAGGTATACTGGGCCAAGGCCGTACTACGCTAAGGCGTAATAGAAACCCAAATTATGTTGTTTTAAAATGCATAAAACGTGACAGCAAAATGTTAGGGATTGTGGGCAAGGTGGGTGCAATGGAAACCAAAGTAAGCTTTGGTTCACTGGGGTAGGTTTTATTCGGAACTCATGATTTTGAAGTGGTGATTCATTTTCTTTCATATTGTGTTGCTGGAGGTTGAAAGAGCGGTGGTTCTGTAATGCTGGGTAGTGGGTGGCCCTGCTCACCTGTCAGGATTAAGGGAGATGAATATCTGGTCCTCTAGCCAGACAGGCCCCCCCACCCCCAGCTTAAAAGCTAGCTTCACTATAGATAAGAAACATTAAAATGCAACAATGCTAAATAAATAAGTAAAATTACTAAATAATATAGCTGCAAGTTCTTGGCAATCATTTTCAATGATTTCTATGCAATTTCACACACATTTTACTTGCCAAGCAAAACTAAATTATATTAATTTAAACAAAATACCTTTTGAATTCCCAAGTCATGTTACAACTTTTTGGCACCCCTCATTTTAAGGAATTTGAAAGTTGAAAAATTCAACACACCTGAATGTGACGTGGAGTTACAGTAGCAACTTCCATGGAGTGTACAGTATGCATAAAGCATCAACGCTGCTTTCCTGTGTTCTTTGTTGCAGCGGCAGCCAGGCTATGCCACCCCTGCCTTCAGAAGATGGAGTGCCCTCCAAGAACGCCCCAAGGAAAGGTAAGGCTCGGGTGCAGAAACTTACCTGTGGCCCTTTGGGGCAAAGAGAGAGAGCCCTGGGGATTGAGGAGTGGTTGTGTGCAGCTATTGTGCCTGGCAATACACATGCATTCTTTGTTACTTCCTCTGTGTTGGGTGTACGCTGCTTTGAGGAAATGGCTCTTGTGGCTGGCAGCTGCATTTATTATTATTTGTCTGCTTTATTTCATTTATTTTTATCTGCTTTCTTTATTAATCTCTTCCCGGGAATCATCTCAAAACAGTTTCACCATACAAAAAAAAATCCATATCCAAAAAACAAATTCAAATAATTGCAGATACGGAGCAGGGTTCAAAATTCAAAATATCTACTTCATAGCTATTCCAAGAAAAAGACATCTCTGCTCCCTGTTCACTAAGAAGTCGTGAAAGTTCCCAGTGTCATGGCTTATTGCTTGCAGGTGTAGTTCATAGATTTATTTTCTAGCTTGCCAGGAGAGGGCAGCAGAGTCCAGTGAGGAGCCACCTTAAATTCAGTCTGGGGAACTTCTCTGTCTGGATCCTGGTTTCAGTAATCTGCCACATGTTCAGTTGTTGATGGTTTGACGGGCGAATGACAAGCGGCATCTTCCCACTTGACTTCTCCTGCCCAATGTAATAGAAGCTTGTAATACAGTCCTTACGTTTGTTTACTTGGAAGTAAGTCCCACTGTGTTCAGTGGGGCTTACATGCAGGTAAATGTGTATGTATTCCCTTCTTGCTGAAGGCAAGGTAGGTTCTGTGGTCAGGATGATCACAAGTTGATAAGAAAATTGGCACAGTATATTATTTTATTACACACTTTTAGCAAGAGCCTCATAGCATCTGAGGAGCTTCCTGCTTTGAAGGCTGTTCAGTGCTGCCTGCTCTTGCAATTGGCTGTGGCTACAGGATATGGGGAAGAGCTGAAGCAGAGACTGTTTTGCACAGCGGAGCTGAGGCAGAGATGGTTCTGCAGGGATTGTGATATTTGCATTAGCCAGCCGCCTGCTCTTGGGGTTGGCTGTGGCTGCAAGGAAGTAGGGGAGAATTAAGGAGGGCTCTGCAGAGGAGCATGTAACTCAGTGCTTTAAAATCACAGGAAGGCAGGTCCTTCCCAGCGATCGCCCCTCACAGTGGCTTGGCTGTGGAGTGATGATGTGGGCAGGTGGAGCAACCAGGAGGAGGGAGGCAGCCTGTCTGCAAAGGAAGCAAGGCATAAGCAGGCAGGTGAGCACCTTATCAGGCTTCCTCTGGCACTAGTGCAGGCTCAAAAATGTTACCGCAACAAGCTCTTCAAACCATTTTCAAATTATTTATTGATGTATCACACAGCCCTAGTGTTAGGGTACTAGTAACCTGGGTGGGCTAACTTGACATCTCATTGCTGAAATTAGTTCAAGATGGAATAACAGATTTGTCTCAACTTACTTTAGGTGATGAAAACCGACCTGATGAAGGGAAGGAGAGTGCTCCAAAGGGCCGAAGTGGAAATTCTGGGTGTGGTCCTGGAGATGGAGGCAGCAGAGACCATTGGCAAGACTCAGATAGGTACAGTTGTCTTCACATCCTCATGCTCTGACTCCGGAAACCTTGTGCCGGGGGGCAGGCAGTGAGCAGCTAAGGGAATGCTGGAGATCCACTATAAGCTGATACAAAGCAGCTGGAGGCTGGAACACCTGACTGCAGTTTGCTGTCTGTGGCACACAGAGCTCTGGGTTGTCCAGACTCCTCTGCATAGGGCTGGAGTGTGGGTTGCACCTGATGGGTTGAGTATGGAGCAAATGGCTCTCACTGCCATTATTCTATGTGTGTAAACTTTGTCCTTTCGTCACCTTATTAACGTGGTAGCAGTTTTCTTTTTCAGGAAAGAGAGTAGTGAGCATGACTCAAGACCTGCATCTGAGCCAAAGAAATTCGAAGAGAACCCTACCCCCGTAAGTGCTGAATCTGTTGCTTTTTGAGCAGTGATTGTCAAATGCTGGTGTAATTAGGCAGCAGCTCTCTGTCATTCAATGTGCCAGAATGTATCGGGATTCCCTTAGGACTTTACTCAGTTAATTGTGGATTCAACTAACTGATTATAATTCTGTAACTAAAATATCCTTGTGCTACATTCAGACTTTTTGCTGAGAAGCGTTTACATCACTGGTACCCACAGTTACTTCCTATTACTAGCTCTGAAAAGTGGGGAGAAGGGAATATAGGCTTCACCAATTGATAGGGGATATTCTGCTGATAGAACAGGATGCACACGAATGTCACAGAAAGCCAAGCATCTGTTTTCTAAATCCTCAGCTGGAAGTAGAAGTGCCAAAATCCCAAGTTTGTACTCTTGTAAAGCAGATAGTTGTGTTTTGTTTATATTCTCAAACTGTGCTCATTGGTTATTGAATTCTTAGTTTTTTGTTTGTGAATTGGAGGATGGACTAATAATAAAAAATAAAGTTTGCCACAGACAGAACAAAGACGAGATCAAGAAATTTGCCCTGGAAGTGCATGCAAAGAATCTTGGCCACAAAGCCCACTTCATAGTGGGAGCTTGGAGCTTGTTTTTCCTTTTTCCTTCATTGCAACCTTGAGAAACAGTGATCAGCCCAAAGGTTGCCCAGTGTGGTTTCAAATTCAGGTCCCCCAGTCTGCCATTTTTATCTGCCATGCCTTGGTGGTACACCTCTAGGTTGTGGTCTGAATTTAGTCAGGCTGTTTTCCTCAAACCACACCCACCTGGCTAGTCCAGCTGCTTCTGCAACCTGATCCCTGCAGAGAGCAGGAATGAACTCTTCCTGCATTGGCTGATTTCATTCCTGATTGGTCACTGTGTTCTCCCACCCTGACAGCCCAGCTTTGACAGGTGGGCGATGTCATCCATCTGCAAAAGCTGGCTCTCAAGGTGGGGGAAATAAAGATCTGGGCCAAAAAGATTTCCCACCCTGCATTCTGCCTTTTATCTGCCCAGAATGTAGCCATCCCACCCTTCTCTAATGTCTGTGTTACACCATCCCAGGAACACCTGATACCCACAGCCCTATGTATAAAACTTGTCACAGGATGACTTTCAGTGTCTCAGTGTCCAGTTTTGAGTGCTGTTTTAACACCCACTTCCCTACCTCTCTTGCAGAAATTTAGCTGTGCTAGCAAGTATGCTGCTTTGTCAGTGGATGGTGACGATGAAGCAGAGGGGGATGAGTACGCTGATTAAATTCTCCAGCCCCTCCATGCCGTCTCCTTACCGGTTGCCACCCAGGAATATTCGGCAAGCAAAACCAAACCTTTATTCAGACAAGACAGAAAAATAAAAGCCTACAAGTCAACATCTCCTTGGAGAGACCTTTCTTAAACCTTTCTTTAAAAAAATATATGAAAAAGTGATACAGTTTCTCTTGCATGCTGCTGCAGCCTTTAAAGTATTGAACTAACTGGAGAAATCCCTGCAAAAAAAAGTATAGCAAGAGAGAAAATGGCAGGTGTCTTTTTAAAAAAAGGAATAGGCCCAGTGTGTGTCTTGAGTGTGACTTCATGCAGCTTCCAATCACGTCCAGAGCCCCAGGTCCTTCCCATTAAAAGAGAGGCTAGCACTTGAGCAGGCCAGGTGTGTATTAATTGAGCACAGTGGGGACATGGACAGCTAAGATCTGTCTCCTCCTTTTGCCAGGTTGGTTGACTTCTGCAGTGTAAGCTTCAAATGAACTTGAAAGCATTTTAGTGCATTGGGAAAAGGAGGAGAGCAGTCTTGCCTTGATGGCTGGGGGAAGAGATGAGATGGCTTTTCAAGGCAGAGAGTTGACATCTCTACGCAAGTAATCCCTGAGGTTTAAGTTAGAAACCTCGCCCTGGTGGTGGTGGTGTCCCCCTCTGAAATCCATCAGGTTTGGGGAAGCCCCAGGCAACACTAAGGCTGAGTAGCAAACCTTTGCTACCAAAGGAATCTTCTCAGAAGCCTCAGAGCTGATCCTGGGGTTGTACCCTTGCCTGTCCCCAACAATAAAGGCTGCTGACAGTTGGCTTCTATGTTGAAAGCCACTTTCCACATAGTTTGGCCAAATGGTGCAAAGACACTCTGTGTTAGTGGTCACCAGGACCATGCAGTGCTGATGTGGAAAGTGCGCCTTGCATATGAACCATGCAGAAAGTAACTTTTTGTATGTCAAGGTGCTCCACCATATGGAATCAGTTTTTGGTAACCTCCCTGAAGGAGGTTGCAATATATATGAAGGAGCCATTGGATTTATGGGAATCATTAGTTGAAAGAGCAATTTCTGGAGACTATAAAGTTTTCTTGAATTCCCCCCTTCCTATCCCTTCCTCTTCTGTCCCCTTTTAATCACGGAGGTACCACCACAACCACTCTCACAAATTTAAATTGCACCTGTTTTAAACTTGGGCACTGTTTAAAGGTAGCAAGAGTCTTTGAAAGTTTGACTGAGCATCATGTGACTGTTCCAAGTTCCTTCCTCACTTTTGGGCAAGTAGGTACACAACATGACTGGCAAACTTCCTTCAGCCCTTACAAAAAGGGTTTACTTTTAGTCCCCTAAATTTCTTTTTAAAGCTTCCTTCGCCAACACCCAGCACCATCAGACACAGAGACAAGCAATCTCTTCCATTTCTTCCAGTAGTCTTGGTCCTTTCATTCTTCTTCCTTGAACTAATTAATGGGTAGGGCAAGTGGGAATTCAATCCACACAGTGGAACTGAAGCAGCACAAGGTTTTACTAGCCAACTCTCAGCAGCCTGATTTACATGGTGGCTGCAGAGGAGGATCTGGCTAGCTTTTGGGAGGTGTGCACGGGCTCACCAGGGAACTGCCAGTTTTTACCTAGTTGGGGAGGAGAACAGTGTGATTTTCCTCTTGAAGCAATTCTGGCTGAGTCAAATACAGGATTTGGCGTGTTGTAAAGCCTGCCGTGGTTGGTGTCTTGTTTCAGTAAATTTTAGCTACAATTTAAACCAGTCCTTTGAAATACACAGAGTAGTGGCACATCCTATGGGCAGGATATAAAGGAATGGGAGGGGAGACCCTGCTGAGTGCAGATAATTGATTTGAAATGCAATATTGCTTTGACTGTGTGAAATGCTGGGGGGAGAGGCTATATTTGAGGTAAAGTGCTAATTTGCATACCCCAGAAGCATTTTCTACCCTCCCTTCTTTCTCTCTCTCTCTCTCTCTCCTATTCTCTCTCTTTATCTCTCTCTGCGCTATCAGGACAGGTTCACGAATGGATTGAGGTGCATTTTACACATTCTGAAGACATGTAAAATTTGTACAAAATATCTTCTATGAAAATGATTTGTAATCTGTGTGGACTTACTGGGAGATGTCTTTTATTATGTAAAATTTTCCCTCCTCCCCCCTTCTTGGTTTTTTTGTTTTTCTCCAAATAAAACTAATCTTTAAAATAATGCTTCAGCACGAGATTACTTTGCCAGTGGTGTCTCTTCTCCATCAGGACATGGATGTTGCTCTCAAATATATAGAACTAGTAGGGAGTGCCATCTTGGTTCAAAATGGTGGACACCAACGTGTCCCCCAGAATCTGCTCAATCTTCTGGAGCACACGGGGGGCTCCAGGGGAGCAAAGCCCCACTGAAGGCTGGTAGTACATTCTGTCTGCACACAGAGGATTTGACCAACCCAGAGACTTGCTGATGCAAAGAGATGTAATTGTAGATTTCATAAGTTATGTCACTGATTCTCCTTGTAAGATCTCTAGAGGGTAGGCGATATCCTTTCATAAATACAATACAAATAATTTGGGGACGGGTGAGTGAGGCCAAGGCCCGTGATCCCTGCAGCCCTTACAAGTGGCCCCTGTTGAGATCTCATTGCTGCCCACATTTCTAGCTTCAATGGTTAACTACAGAAAACTGGATCTGTGAAGATTCAAGTTCTCTGGCTTCCCAAGTCCTTTGGTTTGGACTAAAAGCAATTGACTTGTTCACTTATTTGACAGGAGGGCTGGGGACGGGGAGAGGAACTGAGCCTTGGTTCTTTTCCGTCTATTTCTGAAATAAAAATTATCTTTCTTCGCTTGCACAATTGCGTCTCTGTGCCTGCTTCCCTGCGCTTGGATTGGTAGTGCAATGCTTTAGCCAATTCCAGTTCCCTCCCTCCTGCCAAAGAAGCAGGGGGTGTGATCAAGGTTTTATAAACGGCAGGAGAACACAGTGCCCTTTTCATTGTGCATCCTCCCCACATAAGGCATCCGAAGACAGATAGTCATTGAGACAGCATCTGGTATACCACCACCTCCTGCACTTGATAAATGTCCCAAGTGCCTTGTGAAGTCCAGGCTGGCTTCCAGGTATGGAACTTGCCTTACTTCAACTCACTGGAACCCCAAGCAATTGGATTCTGCCTTGCAGAGCAGGGAGTCCCTGGCTGTTGGCTGCTTCCACCACTCTTGTGTCCATCAGAGCAGCAAGGCTTTGTGCAGTATGGGTGCCTCCTCTCCCTGCTAGTAATCTGGAGGGTGACACAAGATTATTTTGGAGCTGGAGGGAGGAAATCCAACCACACCCTTCCCCTCTCCTCCATGCTTAATCTGCGCATGCGCCACTGAGCAGAAACAAAAATGAGCCAGAGCTAAAGAGGAAAAGGGTGAATGCTCAGTAAGCCATTACAAGACCAGTGGTCTACATTCTCAGGGAAGAAAGAAGAGCCTGCTCAGAGGTGCCAACTTGAATAAAATATGGGGGCGGGATATAACAGGGTGCACCCACATTATTTGAATGGCAATTCCCTTCAACTTTGGGGGAGTCTCCGCCTCTATTTTATTGTGGGGTCCAAAGGGACCTTGACCCCCTAGGAGTTGGCTCCTCTGGCCCTGCCTGATTAGACCAAAGGCCCTTCTGGTCTCACAGTGGCCAAGCAGAAGTTCCTGAGAAGCCTCATCAGGAGGTCAGGAAGGCGGTTTCTCTCTGTTGGTGTTCGTCTCCACTGGTCGGTTTTCAGAGGCATCTTCCCCCTCTGATCCTGGGGCTTCCAAGGGCAGGGAGGTGCACAGCCCCCAGGGAGAAGGGTTTGGCTTTACACACACTCTATCCACTCCTTTCCCCTGGGACCAGAGCAGCCAGTGGGCTGGAGGTAGTTCCCCCACCCACAAACCCCCTCCAGAGCTGAGTCACATGTGCTTCCGTCATCCTTGCTGGGCAGTAATCAGCACCAGATTTTCTCCGTTAAGACCCTTTCAAAGGCTGGACATCGTCTCCCTCCCCACCTCCACCAGTCAAAACCACTTCCAAAGAGGAGGAAGAGTCTCCAGCAGCTTTTATTTACTGCAGCTGGGGGGTTTCGAAACCTTTCATAAACATAGCTGTAAAGGTTATGGTGCCTCTGGTTGTCTGCAAAGCCCACCCTGGGTGAAAACGAGGCAAGAGAGGGAGAGGGTCCCAATAACAAGAGAGCTGCTGAATTAGATCAAAGCTGTTTCCAACAGTGGCTACCAGAGGCTTTGCAGATGAGTGAAATGCCGGCAGGGTTTCTTTCTCTCTTTTAAACCTTTTTGGAATTGGTGTGTTTGTATACAATGGATGCTCCTTGGTGCCCGTTGGGACTGCCGGGATAGAAGGCAGAGAGGCCAACAGTAGGTGGCTCCTGAGCTAATGACAGGCTGGCAGAAGCACCCCCTGGACTGGTCCTAAGAAAAAATGCAGGTGGGGGACGCTAGTTGAGGGCACAGTGACGCAAGTGGGGCAGTGCCCCATTCAGCCTCCTTAGATTGGTCGGCGGGTGGGGGGTGAGAGGAAGAGTGTGACAATGTGGTGATCTGAAGAGAGAATGTAGATAGTAACTGAACTAGGTGAATCAATGGACTGACCTGTGTACACACCACACATTTAAAGCAAAACAATACTAGGAACTGTAGTTTGCCCTGCATGGAACTATAATTCCCAGAACTACAATTCTCCATTTTCTTTTCTTTTTTTAAACTTTTTTTTTATTCGAAATTAAAACAACACATATTATCCCGAAACATATCATCCTTATTTTTTCCCCCATTTTTCCTCCCTCCCCCCACCTTCCCACACAAAACCCACCCATCCCCACCCCCCCGGCTTCCCTCAGTTCCAGTCATTGATTTCTCTAAGAATGCTGTTTTCTGCATGTTACACAGTTGTATAGATCCTCAAACTAGCTGATTATCATCAATAAAAAAGTTTGTGAATGTTTATTCAAAGCCAGCCAAGGAGTCCAGTTCGCTTTGTTGCGTCTTCAAATATTTTGTAAAGGGTTCCCATTCATCTTTAAAGTCACAGTTATCCTTGTCCCGTAGCTTATATGTCAATTTTGCCAGTTCGAGGCTCCTCACGGGGTCTCTGCCATGGGAGCATATTCACCCAGTGCTTTTCAAGCTGCACTGGCTCCCGGTGGAGTACAGGGTCAGATTTAAGCTGCTGCTTTTGACCTTTAAAGCCCTTCACGGCCTAGGACCCTCGTACCTATGGGACCGCCTCTCCCTGTATGCCCCACGGAGAGCCTCAAGGTCCATAAATAGCAACACCCTAGTGGTCCCGGGTCCTAAGGAAGTCAGATTAGCCTCAACCAGAGCCAGGGCCTTTTCAACACTGGCTCCGGCTTCGTGGAACGCTCTGCCTCATGAGACCAGGGCCCTGCAGGATCTGATTTCTTTCCGCAGGGCCTGTAAGACAGAGTTGTTCCGCCTGGCCTTTGGCTTGGAGCCAATTTGATTCCCTCCCTCTCTTTCTTTTTTCCTTCTTCTCCTGCGATGAGGCTACATTTTAATATTTTAATATTTCAATATTTTAATGTTGTATTTTAATTTTGTTTTTAAGTTGTAATCATGCAACTTGTTTTTATTATTGCTTGTAAGCCGCTCTGAGCCCGGCCTTGGCTGGAGAGGGCGGGGTATAAATAAAAATTATTATTATTATTATTACTATTATTATTATTATTATGCATAGTCCATCCATTTTTCTTGCCATGATTCTTTAGTTGGGGTTTCTTCAGTCTTCCATCCTTGTGCTATTAGAACTCATGCGGCTGTTGTCACATACGGCTGACAACAACTACAATTCTCCATTTTCTTTGCAGGAAGGCGTGTGCTTTAAATGTAAGGTGCTTATACAGCTTGAAAGGCACCTTCCTACATTCTTGCTTAAGATGGCAACCCTGGGATAACAGAACGGCCTTGCAATTACAGTGATTGCAGCAAGTCTTGGGCAGCGAGGTCACACGGAGGTGGCCTTGGCGCTAACCCACCATTGCAAAAAACCTTTTGACATCTTCCTTTGCAAGCCCTGTCTTATTTATTCTGGCTCTTGGAAGGTAGGGTTGAGCCAGCAGGGGTGAAGCTCTTACTGTGTTGCTGTGAGTCATGCTGTTGTCTTACACACAGGAACATCTCTCCACCGGCTTGGCAGAACCTTGCCCAGTGATGGGAGCAAAGCTGTCACCTTTTTCCTTTTCTTGCGACGAATCCTATTCGGAATAAGGGAATTTCCCTTAAAAAAGGGAAAATGTTGCCAGCTATGGATGGGAGGCAATCTAATTTAAATGGGCACTTGGACTCTTCCAGGTACCTGGAGAACAAGTAACTAACACACACACACACACACACACACACACACACACACACACACACGATGGACATGGGGAGGTTCAGATTTCATTTGCCTGGCAGTAGCAGAGATTGTGGATGGAGCAGAGAGGAAGGAGGCAGTGGGAGGTGTGACAATTAGAACAATTAATTGTCCCTCTAAAGGGGGCCAGAATTTTAAAGAATATTTGGCTAAATATTCTAATATAAGATAAAGAGAAATTTCTTGGAAGTAATAATTAGGCTTAGGGGTAGAATAAGAATACGTTGTTAATAAACATTAAAGATTAAAATATTAATAAAGGAAAATAAGTTAGTAAATGAAAGAAGTTAATATTATTAGAGATATGAATTTGGAGAACTGCTAAACAGGAGATTTAATGAAATTCAGTTAGAGGGGATTCGAGGAAGTCAGTTATCAATGAAATGAAATTAGGATTTGGAAGTAAAAAATTCTTTTTTGTGTGTTTTTTCTATATTGTTTTTCTGTATTGTAATGTTTTTCTTTTTTCTTGTTTTTTTCTATGTGATAAATGTGAGAATCAATTAAAAAAAATTGGGGGGGGGTGAAATAAAGAGGGCCAAGCATTGTTACTGGATCCCTCTTTGGAAGGTACACCACAAAATGAGGACTGCTACTGAGAAACAAGCAGATATGCCCTTGGACTTCTCCATACTGGAAATTACTGTGTGTGTGCTACCAGGGGTGGACTTTGGTAATATGGCATCTTGAGTGAGGACAAAAGTTGACACCCCCCCCAAATATTTTCACAATGATTCCCTTTGGTACAGTTGTTTTTAGGGATCTTCTCGGTAGGTACCCATATAAATATCATTTATTTTTTTAAATATATATATTAATTTGTGCCCCTTCAGCTTGGTGCCCTGTGCGGGGGACGGGGATGGGGTATGTGAGAGAGATGACAGGAAAACAGTGTGTTTAGCAAGGTGTACTGGGAAGGGGGGGAGAGACAGGGATCCATCTTGGGCAGACTGGCTGAAGGCAGGCTGGGAGAGATGCCTTGGACTCCAGCACTGCGCTGCTATTGGGAACAAACCCCTCTTGAAATGACCATGCTTTAAGAGCTGGACTTCCTCCATCTAAACTCAGGTGTAAATATGTGAATGAATCATATTTCTTTATGCCATGGCAGCACCCACCGTGCATTCAGTTCTCCAAAGGAGCACAGACTCTGGTTGAAGGCCAAGACCCCTGGAATCCCATGCAAGGCTTGGCAAGTTGGCAGGGATTGGGGTGGCCAGTAACAATACTGACAGTTGGGGAGGTGCCCATAGAATCACAGAACAGGAAAGGGATCTCAACCATGGCTAGTTAATTCTGCTTAGTAGTACAGCATCCCTGATAGGTGTCCATCCAGCTTCTGCTTTAGGACCTCTAAGAAAGGAGACTCCAGGATCGCCCAAAGCCGTCTGTTCCCCTTGCAACCCGACAACCTGCTTCTTGAGCATCCAACC